ATAACTTTACAAAACTACTAATGTGTAATATTCATATTGTATTTTATATACGTATTAATTATTAATTATTTTTAATATCAAATTTTAGTTATTTGTAAATTATATATATTCCTATATGGACTCTAGACTCATATTTTAATATTTCTTTTTTTAATTCCGAATTTTCTGTAAATTGTATTTCTATACAGACTCTATGATCTTCTTCTAATATTATTTATTTTTATTTCTGAATTTTTATTATTTCTAATTGTATTTCTATGTGGACTCTAAACTCATCTTTTAATATTATTTAATTTTTAATTTTTAATTTCAGTTACTTCTAAATTGTATTCCTATATTGACTTTAAACTCTTCTTCCCATGTTTTTCTTAATTTCGAATTTTAGTTATTTGTAGATTGTCTTTATACGGACTTTAAACTCTATTTTTAATTTTATTATGGTTATTCCAAATTGTAGTTAGTTTTAAATTTTATTATTTTTAATTCTTATTTTTAATTCCGAATTTCTATTAGTTCCTTAATTGTATTTTTATATGGACACTCTACTCTACTTCTAATATTCCTTATTTTTAATTCCGAATTTCAGTTATTTCCTAATTGTATTTCTATATGGACACTACACTCTACTTCTATTTTTCCTTATTTTTAATTCCGAATTTTAGTTATTTTCTAATTGTATTTCTATATGGACTCTAGTCTTCTCTTCTAATATTCCTTATTTTTTAATTCCGAATTTCAACTATTTCTAAATTCTAAATTGTATTTCTATATGGACTCTAGTCTCCTCTTCTAATATTTTTTATTTTTTAATTCCGAATTTCAGCTATTTCTAAATTGTATTTCTATATGGACTTTATTTTTTCTTTTTCTCCGATTAATGTGGGAATTTCTAGGTCATGAGAGCGAACGTGGAGGCTCCTTTTTCTATTCCTTTAATAATATATAATAGATAGATGAGCAAATTGTGCATCTTGTAGTGCTACTACATGCAACAAGGTCATCCATCCTTCCGTTTTCTTGCACAGGCCATTTTGACAAGAATGCATGTTGATTATACTACTTACTTACGTACTCAGTACAAGCAGCAGCAGTATTTTAACTGCAACCATCCTGACCAACAAGGCAAAAACACGAGTTTAGCTAAGCTAGACATTCATTCTTTGGGGCAGCTACTACTACACCTACATTGACAATTTTGACATTCGACGCAGGTAGAACAGAATGAAGCCAAGCTGCTGCGCTGAGCGCTGATGAGCCCGTCGATTCGGGGGGGAGGAAACATGGGAGCTACAGTTGTTTTGGTGCAAATGGTGTTTGACCCCCATCATTTGATTCTCCTTCTCCTCCACACCGCCGCCGAATGGTTGCAAACGGGAGCCGGACGCGGCAACCCCCCATGTGTGGATGCACGCGAGTACGCGAGCGAATCGTCGTCGTGGCCTGGCCTGGCCGGTGACGATGATGACATGGGATGTGTGCATATGATTAGCCCTCCTCCTCCCATGGCGATGATGCCTTGCTTTTCCTGCACACATCTCGCCTCCCCCCTCCTGTCGGTCTCCATGACGCATTAATTAATGCCTCTTCTTAGTTTAATTAATCCCAGGAAGGTTAAATTAGTTTAGAGGCTCAGGACGGCGTTGCCATGCCATGTGCGTGTCTTAACTGGCAGAGAACTGGACTATTTTCTGCTAGTACTGGTACCTCTGCTTGCCATGTACGTGTAAGAAAATCTAGCGAGCGATATTGACTATTGGGCAAAGCCGAGTAACAATCATCATCCAGCAATGCGTCGCGACGAGAGAGCCAGCCGGCTACATAGCATGTGGCTGGCTGCGCTGTGAACGCGGCGAATTCCGCTTTATGTCGGGGAGGCCAAAGCCAACGCCAGCTGCTGCCTCTCGCAGCGCCCAAAACCCAAGCGAAGCGAAGCGTGGACGGCGTTGGTGTTGTGGGTGCGTACGCAGGAGAGCGCGCCGCAAAAACGCATACGATCGGCAATTTGATAAAGGCCGCAAAATCGCCGAAAAGTTGCCCCCAAATCCCGCACGCTATATAGCCATCATTTCTCGTTTCTTCCTCCTCTAGTCCTCTCTCCCCACCGACGCGTCCGCGCCACCAACCGCCTCATACTGTACTGTACTATACTAGAACGTGAACGAATAGGTGTAACTCGTACGTTTTTCTCATCGGGTTTAGATGGTGTTCGTTTGTACTATCGAAGATTAAGTTATATCACGTAAAACAAGAAAGTTACTAACGTATAATCCATTAAGCTTTAATTATTATAAAATTAAAGTAACTTCTATGTGGAATACTTTTTTAAACTGAACATATGGAATACATTGTTTACCAGTTAAAAAACGTGCTAATAGAAATCGAAGTAAAATCTATATCGGTTAAAAAAAAAGAACACCACCGTAAGTATGAAGGATATGTTGTGAGTTCTGGCTAAATCAGCCGGTCGGTCCCGTGCGTCCAAACTATCGTACCCGGGATTGTAAAACCACACACAATTTAAGTTCAGTCCAGCTTGACTTTGAAGAGGAAGTAATAACAAGGGATCCAGCAACCAGCATCGATCATCAAGTTCCTCAAGCTATTACCTAGCTAAATTTGATGATTCCCGGACGGCATTGTCCTGGCTTTTAATTTGGGAGCCAGTTCATCAGCCAGTGAGTGAGCGTCTGGGTTAAAATCAATTTAATTAGCCAAGATGTGCAAGTATAGTGCAAAAATCCAAGCACGCATCGACATTACTATCACATTACATTTTTCCCCTCACTACTCATCAGGGATGGATCGATCAGTACGTGAGTACAGTGTTCAAGTCCTTAAAATTGCAATTTGCCACTACACCGTACCGTACGTACCTAAGTACCCCCCATTTAATATCCCGGGGTTAATTAATTAACGTGCTGGCATTTCTGGTTGGATCAACCTTGCTCACATTTCTGCAAGCTTCTTAATCAGTAATCACTACAAAAAATAAACTCTCATCAATTATCAAAAAAATCAATAATCAATTTATGAGCTTTAATTTCTTACCACAAACTTACTAGCCAAGATTGTGACATGAATGTACTCTGCCAAAACGATGCTAATATATGGTGAGGTATCATGTATAGTACAGGGAAGGGTTAGCATGTGTTACTCTCGGTGCCATATGTGTCCCTGTCCTAACAACTGGCCACAGCCAAGTGGACCGGCATGAACACAAACATACACAAAAGCTGTAGGCCTCAGGGCTTAAACCCCCCCCCCCCCCCTCCCCGTTAGTTCAGCCACCACCATCACCACGATACTACATGCATGCTGCTTTCCTCCTCTTGTTTTAAGCATATGTGCCCAAAAAGAAGAAAATAATTTGAAGGGGGGGCGAAAAGACATTCCCCCGCTGCGGCCCCCCGGTTTTACCTCTTCTCGCGAACAAGTACCGTTTCAATCCCTTTCGGGTTGGTTGCAATATGTAGTTTCGAACGACCCATGCATGTGTTTTATGGTCCGTGCAATTCTGTTAACTCCTAACGAAATTTACAGCATCATATCATGTTTGTTGAGAACCAGTCTTCCATGAATTGAACTCGTTTTTTTTAAAACGAATCGGTGAGCTGCCAATTTTATTGAATAGAGAAGGAGCAAACTGTACAATAGAGGTACGTATTAATTAGCATGGGGACGTAACGGGAAATCCTGACGAGTGGGGGGACCAAGAAGAAAATTCAGGGCCCTTCTCGTGAATCATTTGCTTGCAAGAGAACAAAAGAATGTGATGTGTGGAAAATTGATTCTGTCCACCTCTTCTGTGAATGAAATTACTCCAATACAGTGCCCCCTGCCTCCCCTCTGCTTTTCAATCCACACAAGGCAAGAACATAGTATAAAGCCATCCAGCACTTGATCAGGCAAGGCAGGCAGCCAGGCATGGAGATCAAGCCTGCAATTAAAGCAAAGAGAGAAAAAAACATTAAACAAATAAATAAACAAACAAATACTAGAATTGTGGGCAACTCCTTGCAACTGCCATTTTTACAAGCTGGTGGTGGTACTGGCAGTACCACCACTGCAGCATCTCAAGCCCAATCCAACGTGCACAGTTCAGAAGAAAACTGCATCTGCATTGGCTGTCATAACTGCATTGCAGCCATTGAAGAAGAAGAAACACATCACACATGCAGCAAGCGCTGCAAAGCAAGGCATTGCAATGTGGTCACAGAAAGGGGTTTGTAACTAGTACCCCCAGGCAAGAACCAGCTCATGCATTGCAACACTACAATGGAAATACATGGGATTGCATTGTCATCACGGGTCAGCTAGCAGATGCATTTAGCCCTGGGGAAAAAGAAAAGAATCTTCCAATCGAAAGGAGCAAGGCCCTTAGCTAGCAATCCTTGGCAAAAGTGGCTGTTCCTTGCATGCTCCCAGTGTTAAAAAAAACAAGAACTAAGTGTGCATAACAAAACAAACTAATCATCACTCCCCCCAACTTTATTCTATTATTCCCCTCCTCTTCCTCTTCCCTGATTAAACATAGTTTACATTAGATTAGTAGTGATCAAATCAGAGAAAGAAATCATCATATCTTGTGGGATGCTCCTAAACTAGTACAAGAGCAAAGAGGGAAAACAAAAGATGAAAAAGGGAACTAATACAAAAAAAAGAACAAAAACCAAATTATATTGTTGGCTAGCTAGCTAAGTTTTGTGCCATATCACATGGCAAGAGGAGGAATATGAGTGGAAGCAACCTGGTTGGTGGGGTGCCCCCATATGGGCCTCTCATGCTCATATGCAAACAAGCATTGTTTGCTTGCTTGTATGCCACCTACATGTACACATTCACAAAGCACACAACACAGCTCATATCCATAACACACACACACACACACACATACAAATCTTCTTTTCTTTTTTACAAAAATTAAACACGCAATTAATGCTAATCACTTTGTGTTTGACACCTGATTAGCACATATAAATCCAGGACCTCCCCCTCCCCTACAGCCTTACCTCCAAAAAAAACCATTTGGGTCTCTCTCCCTTTGAGAGCCCCCTACCGACACTTGTTTGCCCTTAATTTCTATATATCCCCCACGTACTTTACGACCCATTTCTCACACCCCTCTTCTCCTCCTCCTCTTCTTCTCCACCACCTCCATTGCTGCTCGCCTCTCTCACCTCCTCCTCCTCCTCTTGTGTGGAGCTCGTCGGCGTCGAGGTGTAGCTAGCTAGCTAAGCTTGTTTTGCCATTGTTGTGTTCTTGGTGTTCGGAGAGGGAGCTTGCCTTTGCCTTGAGGGGAGAGGCAAAGGCATTAGCAATGGCGCCAGCGGTGGCCGGCGGCGGAGGGAGGAGGAACAATGAGGGGGTGAACGGGAACGCGGCGGCGCCGGCGTGCGTGTGCGGGTTCCCGGTGTGCGCGTGCGCGGGGGCGGCGGCGGTGGCGTCGGCGGCGTCGTCGGCGGACATGGACATCGTGGCGGCGGGGCAGATCGGCGCCGTCAACGACGAGAGCTGGGTCGCCGTCGACCTCAGCGACAGCGACGACGCCCCCGCCGCCGGCGACGTCCAGGGCGCCCTCGACGACCGCCCCGTCTTCCGTACCGAGAAGATCAAGGGCGTCCTCCTCCACCCCTACCGGTCAGCTCTCTCACTCCCTCCTCCATTGCTGCACTCTAGCTTCCACCTCCAACTAATTAATTAACCGTTTCTTCCCCCCAAAAAAAGAAAAAAAAATCCAAAAACTAATTAACCGTCTCCTCTACAATTAACCAATTTAGTCGGTGTTAATGAACTTGATTAGTACAAGTAGTAGTAGAACACAGCAAGCTAAGTTTAATTACCAGCTTTAGTAGGAAGAGTTGCAAGAGTGTGAACCAGCTAATTAATTACTGTGGGCGAGGCGTAGTAATTACCACCAACTCCAAGGATTAATCAAATCCGGTTTAAATCCGAGGAGACAAGTGCACGTTAGAGCCCCGGCCAATGGGGGAGCGCCACGTAGCGCATGGCTCGAGCCGGACCAAAATTAGCGCGTCCCGTGGATGGGCCTTGTCGGGCTCGGTGCGGCGCGGCCACCTTTTTTTTTTTGCCACCCTGAGCCACTGTACGGTGGGGCCCACGCGGTGGGGAGTTAATCGTTATTCGCTGGCCAGCCTCGTGCATGGCTGGCACGTGGGCCCACTCTCCTCAAAAGGAATAATTGATGCAGTAAAAAATTTACTAGGAGTAGTACGTAGGTTTTTTTACTAGTTTGAGGGTGGTGGATTTACTGTGGGGGTTGGATGGGTGTAGATTTGTTGCGAAATTTGGCTGGAAATGGGAATCCGAGGTGAAATTTATTGGATTTTTGCCGTGTAGAGGGCAGGCAGCATGCATGGCTTGCATGTGAATCCAAAGCTAGCAAAACATCATTCAAAGCCTCACTGCTGCAGTTTTAGGTTGGGGCAGAAAAAACGGTAGCAATAAAGAAGGTAATCTTTTTTGCACTGTATATAGAGAGAGAGAATAAAAAGGGAGCTGCTTTTTTTAGGTGAAAAGACTCGAAAAGAGTGGTGAGTTTAGGTTGTTCTAGATGATGGTGGTGTTCCTGCACTGCAGTGCTCTTTGTGTGGATTTATTTTTAGCTAAGGGAATGATTGGGAAATTTTGCTGTGTTTTTTTGTGTAGTGGTAAAGAGAAAAGGACTAGCATATCATAAAGTGAGAGAGAGAAAAAAATAAAGCTTAGTGCAGGATGGATTATGTGTGTAGCTAGGGGGGAGAGGGGGTCAGGCTTGCACTAAGAAAGCAATGAATAAAATGGGAGGGGTACATTTTAGTACTACGAAATCACAGTTGCGGTGCACTTAGATAATAATCACAGTATATTAAGGTCGACAAAAGTACACATCTTGATATACAAAACTAGTTACAGAAAGATGGAAAATTTTTTACTCTAGTGAATTATTGTTAGCACTCATGAGAAACACTTGCACTAGTTTAGGAGGAGAAGGTTCCAAATCCTTTCTTCTTTTTGGAACCAATACAACTAGAACAATCTTTTTCTCCCATTGATAGACAGATAGAGAAAGTGGCAAAAAAAGAAGAAAAAAAAAACAGAGAGCAACGAATCTAGGGGAGCACCACCACTAGCGTGGGCCCCACGGTGGCTGGCTGGCGCTTTCAAGGCCTAGGGGGTGGTAGGTGGGGCCCACTGACAGCCGCATGTCGGTGCCCCCGCTGCGCAGCGAGGCCGTGAGCGCCGCGCCAGCTCACGCGTCATTTGACTGCCAGCTGTCTCCCCCCTCCCCGTCACATGATTGGCTCCTCCCCCCTACCTTTAATTTTATTTTTCTTTTTTCTTTTTTGACATCCATAATTAAGAATTTTCAAATGGTAAAATAAATATAATAGCGCTAGTTTGAACTTGAATATAAATATAAAAGTGGCAACAATTTTCTCCTCCTCTCCCATGCAGTAATCGAGCTGTGCCTAACATGGTCCATGTTCCCCCAATTATTGCGCCTCCTCCATCGTGCCCGTGCATGCACTACCCCCCAATCATTATTACTCGTCTTCATTAGCCACACATTACCTGTCCAACCAGGCACAAGCAAAATATAATTAACTACTAATTAATTACTACTTGCTAATTAACAGCAAGTGATGTGGTTAATGTAATAACTGGATGGTAATTGGATGCTGCAGGGTGCTGATCTTTGTGAGGCTGATCGCGTTCACACTGTTCGTGATATGGCGTATCGAGCACAAGAACCCGGACGCGATGTGGCTGTGGGTGACGTCGATCGCCGGCGAGTTCTGGTTCGGGTTCTCGTGGCTGCTCGACCAGCTCCCCAAGCTGAACCCGATCAACCGCGTCCCCGACCTCGCCGTCCTCCGCCGCCGCTTCGACCACGCCGACGGGACCTCCTCCCTCCCGGGGCTGGACATCTTCGTCACCACCGCCGACCCGATCAAGGAGCCCATCCTGTCGACGGCGAACTCCATCCTCTCCATCCTCGCCGCCGACTACCCCGTCGACCGCAACACCTGCTACCTCTCCGACGACTCTGGGATGCTCCTCACCTACGAGGCCATGGCGGAGGCGGCCAAGTTCGCGACGCTGTGGGTGCCCTTCTGCCGGAAGCACGCCATCGAGCCGCGCGGGCCTGAGAGCTACTTCGAGCTCAAGTCCCACCCCTACATGGGGAGGGCGCAGGAGGAGTTCGTCAACGACCGCCGCCGCGTCCGCAAGGAGTACGACGACTTCAAGGCCAGGATCAACGGCCTCGAGCACGACATCAAGCAGAGGTCCGACTCCTACAACGCCGCCGCCGGCGTCAAGGACGGCGAGCCCCGCGCCACCTGGATGGCCGACGGGTCGCAGTGGGAGGGCACCTGGATCGAGCAGTCGGAGAACCACCGCAAGGGCGACCACGCCGGCATCGTCCTGGTCAGTATAATTAAAAGTTAATTAATTATTACTCTTATAGTACAAATCTTTTGTTTATGTGATTATTTGGTTAGTTAGTGATGACTTGTCAGGGCGAATATTATTTTGGATTGGGAGATATGTGTGGGATTTTGATGGAATTGACGTGGTGATAGTCAAGAGCGCAACCACCACGCACTAATTGCACATTAGTAGTCGTAGCAGCATGCAGGATAATGACTCACTTGTGTCTGAACAAGCTAGTGGTTGGGGTGGTCCTTTCCACCCAGACAGCACCACCACATCACCATTAATCCACACCCCCCTAATTAATCTCACCTCCTCTCACCATTAACTAACCACCATTTCTTAATTACTGCTACAAGTACAAGTTAATTAATTAATTACCACAATATAATTAACCATCAAGTTTAATTGCAGTGATTACTAATTAATTATTTATTACTCCTAGTAGTGGTAAATATAGGAGTAGTAATTAGTACTAGATGACTTTTTTTTACTGATATGGTAAATGATGGTAAAAATGTGCAGGTGTTGCTGAACCACCCGAGCCACGCACGGCAGCTGGGGCCGCCGGCGAGCGCCGACAACCCGCTGGACTTCAGCGGCGTGGACGTGCGGCTGCCGATGCTGGTGTACGTCGCACGTGAGAAGCGCCCCGGGTGCAACCACCAGAAGAAGGCCGGCGCCATGAACGCGCTGACCCGCGCCTCCGCCGTGCTCTCCAACTCCCCCTTCATCCTCAACCTCGACTGCGACCACTACATCAACAACTCCCAGGCGCTCCGCGCCGGCATCTGCTTCATGCTCGGCCGCGACAGCGACACCGTCGCGTTCGTCCAGTTCCCGCAGCGCTTCGAGGGCGTCGACCCCACCGACCTCTATGCTAACCACAACCGTATCTTCTTCGACGGCACGCTCCGTGCCCTCGACGGGCTGCAGGGGCCTATCTACGTCGGCACCGGGTGTCTCTTCCGCCGCATCACGCTGTACGGGTTCGAGCCGCCGAGGATCAACGTCGGCGGACCGTGCTTCCCGAGGCTCGGTGGGATGTTCGCCAAGAACAGGTACCAGAAGCCTGGGTTCGAGATGACCAAGCCTGGTGCCAAGCCGGTGGCGCCGCCGCCGGCGGCGACGGTGGCGAAGGGGAAGCACGGGTTCCTGCCGATGCCCAAGAAGGCGTACGGCAAGTCGGACGCGTTCGCCGACACCATCCCGCGCGCGTCGCACCCGTCGCCGTACGCGGCGGAGGCGGCGGTGGCGGCCGACGAGGCGGCGATCGCGGAGGCCGTGATGGTGACGGCGGCGGCGTACGAGAAGAAGACCGGGTGGGGGAGCGACATCGGGTGGGTGTACGGCACGGTGACGGAGGACGTGGTGACCGGCTACCGGATGCACATCAAGGGGTGGAGGTCGCGCTACTGCTCCATCTACCCGCACGCGTTCATCGGGACGGCGCCGATCAACCTGACGGAGAGGCTGTTCCAGGTGCTCCGGTGGTCGACGGGTTCGCTGGAGATCTTCTTCTCGAGGAACAACCCGCTGTTCGGGAGCACGTTCCTGCACCCGCTGCAGCGCGTGGCGTACATCAACATCACCACCTACCCGTTCACGGCGCTGTTCCTCATCTTCTACACCACCGTGCCGGCGCTGTCGTTCGTGACGGGGCACTTCATCGTGCAGAGGCCGACCACCATGTTCTACGTCTACCTCGCCATCGTGCTCGGGACGCTGCTCATCCTCGCCGTGCTGGAGGTGAAGTGGGCGGGGGTCACCGTGTTCGAGTGGTTCAGGAACGGGCAGTTCTGGATGACGGCCAGCTGCTCCGCCTACCTCGCCGCCGTGCTGCAGGTGGTCACCAAGGTGGTGTTCCGGCGGGACATCTCGTTCAAGCTCACCTCCAAGCTCCCCGCCGGCGACGAGAAGAAGGACCCCTACGCCGACCTGTACGTGGTGCGGTGGACGTGGCTCATGATCACCCCCATCATCATCATCCTCGTCAACATCATCGGCTCCGCCGTCGCCTTCGCCAAGGTGCTCGACGGCGAGTGGACGCACTGGCTCAAGGTCGCCGGCGGCGTGTTCTTCAACTTCTGGGTCCTCTTCCACCTCTACCCCTTCGCCAAGGGCATCCTCGGGAAGCACGGCAAGACGCCGGTGGTGGTGCTCGTCTGGTGGGCCTTCACCTTCGTCATCACCGCCGTGCTCTACATCAACATCCCCCACATCCATGGCCCCGGCCGCCACGGCGCCGCCTCACCATCCCACGGCCACCACAGCGCCCATGGCACCAAGAAGTACGACTTCACCTACGCCTGGCCATGAGGACGCCGTCGCCGGAGACGAAGAAGAAAACACAAACAAGAACAAGACGACACCAACAACACCAACAACAACAAACACGAGATGAGTACGTTCTACTACACGCTGCTGCAACAACACATACTACTGAACACTGTGCATGCATTTGATCGAGCGACCCGCCAAAATTTGAAAGTTTTTTTTCTTCTTTTCTTTTAACCTTTTTTTTTCCTCTTTTTGCCCCCTCCTCTCTCTCCTTTTCTTTCTTTTTAGTTTTGTCCAGAAAAAAGATGGTGTTTATTTGATTTAGTTTTTTAATTACCTGTGGTAATTAATTATGTATTATACATTACTGCAAGGAAGAGAGGGGGGCTTACAGGTGGGGCCCGGGGGGTGGGGTGTGGTGTATGATTGTACTGTACATGCTGGGAGATGTATGTATACGGAGACAAAAAGACAAGAGTCACAGAGAGTGAGAGAAAGAGAGGCTGGAAGTGGGCCCGGCCAGGTGGTGGTGGTATTCTTTTAGTACATGGAAACAATAAATTTAATTTCATTATTCGTGCAATTGTGTCCTTTTTTTTGTCCACTATATATACTATCACTGTTCTTTTGTCCTTGGGATCTTCTTGTGTAGGTAATCTGTGGATGTGAATGAACGAGCTGTACATGTCCTGTTCTGTGTTTGTACATTATAAATGTTGGAATCTTCATTTGAATTTACTTACAAGTAACTTGAGAGAATCAAATTGGTGCTTTATGTTGACATTGAAATCATCAAAGAAGTTGTGAGGGATACATGATGCTTCCTAGTGAGTGAAGAACCCCTTTGTTCCAAGCAGAGCAAGCGTTCTCGAGTTCATTAGTGACAATTTTCAGTAATGAAAGTATTACTCTTAAGATTATTATTCATTTCTACAGTTGCTGCTACATGGCTTAGGCTATGTTCGAATGAGAGATGAGCTAATATTAGTGACATGTAAAACAACACATATTATTAGCGCGCAATTAATTAACTATTACGAAAAAAAAGGTTGGTAGTGCTGCAGTTGCGCCACAACCATTCTACGGCAGCAAGCAGCAAAGCCACAACACTGGAGTATATTATTTAACTTGGGAAGTATCTCAGCCGTTGAGCCGAAGCGCTTAAAGCCTTATAAGTCACAACCATAACATGCCTTTTCGTTCAAAACTACGTTCACCTTAGGTACTTTATCCTTTTTCGCTGGCACGTTTTTTTAAACTGTTTGTGTTCCGTGCGAAATTTTTATATAGAAGTTGTTTTTTAAAAAAAATATATACCAATTTTAAGTTTTTAATAATTAATACACAATTTATCATACACTAATCACGCTTTTTACATGGCTAATCAGCCGTTTTCATACACACTTCATAACCAGCCCTTAGTATTTTCACGAGAATTCACGCCTCACAACGCCGATCTAATTGACACATGAATAATAATAGATGGATGGATAATAGCGTTAACTTTTGAGGGATTAACTCGTGATGAGTGACACAAGAACGGCAACAGATGAATTGTGAAAAGGAGGACCTTCTGCACTTTTACTACTAGTCCTATCCAAAGAATCATCTGGATACCTATAATGTAAGTCATTTTAACATTACCCATATTTATATAGATGTTAATAAATCTATATATTATAAAACGGAGGGAGTACAAGAGTCCTGTAGTAGTAGGTAGCAGGTTGATATGGCGACAAGCATGATTCAACGGCCTCACATGTACACCTCCTCCAAACATGGAAGCAAATGGCAAACAGAAAACAGTAGGAGAGATCCATATCCAGCCAGCCCCAGTAGAGCAAATTATTCAGCAAAGGTCAGTGACGGTGCCTAACTGATCAAAAGTGGCTGCTCATCCCTTTGCCAATCTTGGTCTCCACAATTTCATTTGCCATACTCTTCGATCTCCTCATCACTGGAAGCACTTGACTATGCTTCACTTTGCTTTGTTGCGACTGTGTTGTGTTGTCCACTATATGGTATTATTATTAGTATTGTTCAGCCTTTGCTATAAAGAAAAGCTTCCCTTCCACTCTCCCCTGCTCCTCCATCTCTACCGACAAACACACTCCCCAAAAAAAAAGCAAAATAGTGACGGAAATATTTCTACAAAATTACGTAATAATAGTAGAAGGCATATACTTATTCTCAATGTACAGTAGCAACTATATTCTTTTTAAGTTTACTGAAGATAAAGATTAAGTACCAGCATAAAAAAATGAGAAAATCATTAACGCATGATTGATTGAGTTTTAGTTATTTTAAAATTTTAAAAATAAATTAATTTAATATTTGAAAGCAACTTATATATACACAAGTTTTCGCACAAAATGCAACTATTATCTTAGCTGAAGTATCACCTCCATTATAAAATACTCCTTCAGTTTCATAATGTAAGTCATTCTAGCATTTTCCAATATTCATTAACATCAATATGAATATGTAAAATGTTAGAATGACTTACATTGTTAAACGGAGAAAGTATAAGCTTAGATGTCATTCGATTTAGGTTGTTATATTTTTTGAACGGAAGGAGTGGGACATGTTTTGTGCATCAATCAATAATGCAAAGGGGGGCAGAGTCACGGGGCTCATCATTGGGGGATCATATGATGGCGAAGAACACATGGAGACCATAGAGAGATAGATAGATACGGACAGCCAAGCAAGCACAGCCACGCTGCTTCCGGTGCCCGGTGGCGCTGGACGATTCGATCGACGCGGCGGTGGATGAAACGAACGGACGAACGTTGCTGGTCAGCTGGTTTATTGGGCCGGACAGACATGACGGGCCCTACCGATCGATCCGTCCGGATCCAGAGCCAGCCTGTCTCGCCATGGGGGCCCTACCAGACCAGGCCGAGGACGAAAATGAGAGGTGAGGAGAGGCCCTGGCCTGGCCCGGCCCGGTCCTACCTGCATTGCGTTTGCATTGATTCTTCTTCTTCTTCTTCTTCTTCTTCTTCTTCTTCTTCTTCTTCTTCAGTTTTTTCTCTCTTGCACGCGGCATCGAGATAATCGTCGTTTTTTTTGGTTCCCCACCACCGTGGATCTCTCGGGTATAGGTCGATATCTCCATGGATGTGTTGGAAGGAGAGATGTCCAATCGATTTTATTGGGGAGGCCATGGCGGTAGGGTCCGTTGTACCTTGGAGATCGTTTTGCCACCGACGTGTGTGTTGTTGGTGTCTCTGGGCAAGTATGTCTCATTTATTCATAGCGCTCGCTTCGATCGGAAGTGACTGTTGAGTTACACGTCTAACTAGTTTACTTAGCGAAAGGGCCTTTAATCTAATGGTTACAAGAGTCTCAGTAGCACCTGATGGCGTTGTGCTTTCAGTGGTAAGCGACGTACCCGTCAACAGCGAGGCGTCTGTGGTGACTTCGTCAATCTCTCGAGGATTTACTGGCCCAGTCTTCGACAGCGAGACGCTTGTGGTGACTTCGTCAATCTCTCCAAGATTTGCCGGCCCAGTCTTCGAAGATGCTCATAGGGGTAGGGTTTGCGTGCGTATGTTTATAGGGGTGAGTGCGCGCGCATTGTGAATGTCTGCGTTGTACTGTGTAATTCTTAAAAAAAAAAAACTAGTTTACTTAGGGTCTGTCTCAAAAAAAAACTAGTTTACTTAGGGATTCAGCTCCACCTACAACTCCACTCTAGACCTAACTCCTAGAGCTAATTGAGTTGGAGCTGTACCAAATAAGCTCTTAGGTAAAAGAAAAAAATCGAGCAATTCGCTTATACCTTCTTTTTTAATAATGGAAATGGGTTATATCTCCGGCCTCTGTTTATGGACACACAACCAACAAGAACTAAAAATAGATGTGATGGGATAAACTTTCAACTTCCGCCAATAAAAAGGTCACCTGAAATAATATTTTTAAAATCACATAGATTTTTAACACGAAATTCTGTAGATACTATGCTATCTAAACTGGAATAAAAGCCCTTTGGTTGCCTCTCTTTAAACTTGTAGTAAGTTACCCTATGTATGAATCTCAATATGAGTACAGAATGATCAAACCTTTGGTTGCCTCCCTTTATACTTGTTCATAAGTTACTCAATGTATGAATCTTAATATGGGTACAGAATGATCAGAATGCTGTGTCAGCGTGTCCTCTCCCACGGTTCATTACATGGAGATGGAGGAGGGTAAGGGGAAATGGACAACAAAAAAAATAAAGATGATTGCAGAGGAGGACAGGCAGCAGGGGTCATCATTTTTATGTCATCGAATAAAGCTTCTTTATTTCTTTTCACTGTCATGCATATTGATCATTCGTCTTTGGATCGATCAAGCATGCATGCATGCCTTTTCATTCACCTTGATCTAGCTATAGTGATCTCTCTCTGGGTAAAGTAGATCAGGAGATGTACTGCTTGTCTCCAAAACAGAAGAAAAAGAAATTTTGGCTTAAAACAGAACAGGAATCAGATGTGGAATGTGTGGTTAGTTGCAGCCTGCAGGGCAGGACGACTTGTCAATGCTTCAGATGTCTCCACGTACGGTACGGCCTTTACCTACCTTAATAAGCCGTGTTCTTTTTTGAAAGCGTTAGGACCATCCCGTGGCATATGTAAAACGAAACGGCGATTTAGGACATAGTAATTAATTAAGTATTAGCTAAAAAATTTTAAAAATAAATTCGATTTTTTACAGCAGTTTTTTTTATAGAAAAACTTTTATAACAAATGCACTGTTTAGCTGTTTTAGAAACATGTATTCACAAAATGAGGGAGTAGAATTTTAAAATAAGAGTAAAGAGTACACCCTTAGTAAGGTTTTCTTTTGGAATTGATTAATACGACATTATTTCTGAGCTCCTAAACGACACAGGTTTTTTTTGAAAAAGAAATTCATATATCAATTTATTAAAAAGCTATTCTAAATCCATTGACTATATAAATAGCCAATTTATTCGTATAAAATCATTTAGCTATTGAAGAGGAAAAAAAGCTTTTAGCATGAAATTTTAGTACCAACAAGTCGATTTTATGCTAACTGAACTTCTGTCACTAGTTAATTTTGAGTGTGGGATTACCATGTAATCGAAGAAGAAAAACACGGAACCAACCAACTAATGGCTTCTCCTTTACTCGTGCAAAGAAAAGCTGTGTTTACTTCCCATGGCTGACCAGCAACAACAACAGCTGTATGTGTAATAGTCGTGATTAAACATTGTCGCTTTCGATGAAGAGATCGAAATGATGATGATGATGATGATGCAATGCACAGGCCAAAACCAAAGCAAAACGTCTATAAATCAACAGGTAAATGCATCCATCATTCGCCATGGATGTGTGTCGATAATGCAGCATGCGACGCCAACGACCCCTGCAGGGTCGATGATGATCTGTTCTTGCTTTGGCCGGTCTGTCCCAGAATGTTCATATCCATGCTTGGTGTCAGCTTGTGTGATTGTCCCTTTGTCAGTTTGTCTGTCTGCTGTGCATTGTTTGGTTTTATTTCTAAGCTGCAGTGTGTGAGAGGGAAAGGAAGACAAGTATCAAACTGAAAACTGTTCATATGAGAATGAGAAATAGTGGTCAGATAAATTGGCCAAAAAAGACCAAAACGTCCTTGAACAGGGGGGCAAATTCTCCAGGTGATTTTGGGCTTGTACTATGACGTTGATACGAGCTGTACGTTATTTTCGGCCCACATCCAGGATAAGAATTGGATTCGCTAGGCCGTAACTGTTTGGGCCTATGGCTAGCATGCTTGGATGGGCCGTAAATATATGGGCCTGTGAGCCAAGCTGTTAGGATGGGCCGTAATTACTTGGGCCTCTGAGCGATGCTAGGCCAAAATTATTTGGGCCTTTTGACCATGCTAGCTTGGATGGGCTCTGTGCAAGAATGGGCCTGGGCTGCAAACAGGGAAGCTTTTGACTGGGCCTAGTCTTGGGCCGGTTGCACCATTCGTCATCTATTCAAATAGAAGCAATTAATATGTTCTTGTTTTTGTGCTTTCTAGTTAGCTAAGTGTTCATTAAAAAAGTTAGTAAAGTATTTTTAAAAGAAAACGTTTTATGTACAGTCAAGTTATTTATTTTTTTTTGTTGCGACAAAAGATATTTATGTTATTAGGGAGTTTACATACATAATGTCGTATGACATGCATATAGGTAACCCTGGAGATATGAAAAGAGACATATTTTAACTTTGCTGACATCAAGAGATTTCGAGTAGTACTTTGTAGTTGTTGGTCAAGGAACAAAAACCTTGAAATGCTGTACGTATTTTGCACCACAACATATTTTTAACTTTGCTGACATCAAGAAATTTGGATAATAGAGAGAGAAAGAAAATTGAAAATAATCTGAAATAGAAAAATTGCACAAGAACGACCTTTTCAGTTAAATTTCCACGAGAAAAACATGACTGTGATCACATCTTCCTTTTCAAATGTCCTGACCAACTTTTTACTACTCACACAATGTGTGCAGTACTACTAGTAATCTTTTTCTTTTTCCTGTGATAGATTGAAAGGTGAAAACACACTGAAGATCGAATAGTTTTCTCCATCCACTCTGATTATTTCTTTTTCTTTCTGAATGAAAGCTACTAGTACTACTATTGCTTTCTCCTCTCCTGGATGGCTATAGCTGCTGCTGATCCAGCTGCTGCATACTCCAATAATTTGAGAATGATTACCTTATGATGTGCAAGATGCAGTAGTTCTCTCTACCTATTGTCCTACAGCTACTGTACATGTGCGAGCTGCCAAAGCCGAAAAATGCTCTTCAATTCTCTCTTCAAGCTAGCTACTGTACATGGAGTAGCCTTCTTCAGTTCTTCTGTTCTTCAAGCAGAAAGAGAGATGGAGGCATGAAACTGTTGCTGCAACAGCATGTCTGCATGCAAACACAAGCTACTGGGTCAGGGTCAGAGGCACTGTTCATGTGGGTCCCAGACTGAAGTGACCCATCATACATTCACTCCTACTCCTAGCTTTCATGTGGCACTGTATTATTATTATTATTATTTTTGCTGTAGGAGTCTAGCTACACTGGTCTCTGCTCCTTCCCCATGCAATGCAATGCAAATGCAGGCATAACTTCCTCCCTCTTCCATGTCCTGCCTTCTCTTGATTGCTGTTATCATTTATGTTTGCTGTCTGTGCATGCAATGCGACCACCAGTGTTCCTACCAGCATACTGCATATATTGCATGCCCTATTTTTTTTCTTCAGACTCATCCTGAATTCCTGATCTCTTCTTGTGTGTGCTAGCAAGTAGCAATATACTATGCTTCCTCTCTCTTCTTTCTCTATCACCAAGTCACATCACTAATGTGCTGCACAGTATCTTTTTCTCTCTCAAGATTGACCCAAAATTGACCTTCAGCAGCTGATCTAGCTATCCGGCATTGCTTCTGTGTTGAGCTGTTGGCTTTTGATTCATGCTTTCTTCACCATCACTGCTAGCTACTCCCTCCGTCTCATAATATAAGGGATTTTGAGTTTTAGTTTGCACTGTTTGACCACTCGTCTTATTCAGAAAGTTTTGGAATTATTATTTATTTTTTTGACTTACTTTATTATCCAAAGTACTTTAAGCATAATTTTTCGTTTTTTATATTTGCACAATTTTTTTAATAAGACAAGTGGTCAAACAATGCAAATAGAAACTCAAAATCCCATATATTATGGGACGGATGGAGTATATCAATATGAACAATGCAATGAAAATTTCCCCTTTTTTCATTGCTGTTTCCTTTTGACTGTTTAGGAGGCTACATTATTACACATAAGCTGCATCTCCTTAATCTGCTGATATACTAGTTTGTGTGTTTTGTTCCTATTACCAATTAATATTCAGACTAAAAGAATAGCATAATGCTAGCTACGTAGAGGAGATAAAAGACAGGGAAGAGGATCGTTCTCCTGCATTATATCGATCTCTCTTCTGGGCTCCTTTGGATCAAATGAAAACGTGGAGGAATTTTGGATCAGGAGTAGAATTCATTGAAAAAGAATGTCATACATATGGTCCTTTGGAACAAAACAAAGGCCATGTTTAGTTTCCCCCCTATTCCTAAGTTTCCATCACATCAAAAACTTTCCTACACACATAAACTTCCAACTTTTTTCAGGAACTAAACACACCCAAAGGAATGGGTTCCCCAAAGTCATTTGAAATTCCCATGGAATAGCGCTCATTTCATAAGGAGTTTAGGAAAACTGACATCATGTTTTCTCTTCCTTGTGATTCAAAGTTTCTTTGCTTTTCCTATGGAGTTATCAAACAATACATTTTGTAAAATCATGAGGATTTATTATCTGTAGATTTCGTTGTGGCATGACATCATTTTTCATGTGATTCAATTCTCTCCTACTCTCTTTGTCCTTAAAAAAAAAAGGTAACTAGAGTATGTGTTGCCAAATCCTGCATTCTAAAGGAACACAACCTGAGATGAACCTTGGCCATGGATGTACTATAAATCTTGAAAACATTCTGTTAGAGCTGGCTGCCATGCTGCACGGATAATTCATCAGGTCATGCATGCATGCATGGGGAGTATTTTGCAATTGGACAAGATGTCACAAGTGTCAACAGGCCTAGGGTTTGAATTCTTGCTAGGCTGCCGAACTGAAGACAGGGGCAGCTAGGTAAGCCGTGTGTCAGTGCTCCCAGTGTTTCTTCCTGCCCGGTCATCACCAGAATATGGTACAGAAAGGCCTTGTTGTCATTTGTCAAACATGAAGTACTATACTGGTAGTACTATAATAGTATAATACTATCCAGTATATGTAGAGTATATGTATCCAGTATACATATACTATTCAGTATATGTAGTATATAGTAGTGAGTTAGTGGCTAGTACCACTGCAACACACATATCTCTTGCATGTCAAGGTCTCTTCAATTCATTGTCTTCAATGCAATTGCAATCCTGTCCATCCATCCATCACCTTTGCTTGCTTGGTTCATGCATAGTATATTACTACTCCCTCCATCTCAAAATGTAACTATTTCTAGCACAGTGTCTTGTCCTAAAATGAAGCTATTTATTCACCTACCTCCTCCTCTCAACCAATCACAACCATTCTTCTTCACCTACTTTCTCTTTTTAACCAATCACACACTTTCTCAAATCATTCTCACCTACTTTCTTAATACCCATGCCAACCTCATCCTACTTTCTTAATACCCGTGCCAACCTCAAAAATGGCTTCATTTTAGGACGGAGGAAGTACCACTTTACCACTATACAGCAAGCATCTCGATCTCATCAACTACTACTCCCAAAACTCATGGAGAAAACATGCAAGCTCCTTAATTATCTCAACAAATTAAGTTATTGCTTGCATCACTCTGAATTATTGTGGACTGTAGATATGATCAATTAAGGAACTGCATGAATGGGCACAGTTGATCAGAAGTTTCTTTTTGCTTCCCTAATTTTGCATGTTTCAGGACAGTTGAGATCACTGACTAATAATAAGCATACACAGATGTCAGCAGCTATATGATGTTGTTATCATGGTCACCTTATCTCCCTAAAGGTCTTGAACAGCACTGCATAATGTGCATACACATAGATCATCAGCTTTATCTCTTTTCTCTCCTACTGTCAAGGCTACAAAAGCTACTATCTAGCAAAGCTCATGGACATGCATGTGATTGCAGTAGAAAAGCCACCCTTTTCTCCTTTTCTTCCCCCATCAGCTAGCTAGCTCAATGTTACAACTGCAAAAAAAAAAAAGAGCCATCTAATTTGACCTAGACATTAACCCCATTTCCCATTGGCACAAATGCTTTGCTTTCACCTCACCTCTACCACTACCTAGCTAGCTTTCCTCCTTTTTCCACACTGTCCTTCACCTTGAACATCTTTTTCAACAGTGAAAGATGACAATGTCTACTCTTTGGGACCATGTTAACATGCATGATCGATGAACATGCAAACTACTTCCCCTAATTCTTGTCGACGATGATCATGATCATGATGATGCTTTGCAGATCAGTTATCGACTGGTACTGTTCGGTGTCGATTGATCATTAGTTTGGTCGGTTTTGTGGTCGCCCTAGCGTGAACTCGAGGTTCAGCTCGCTGGTGCTCGATGTCGTCTCCGAAACGCAGGAGTTCATGTCTGATATGATCTCTAGGCTCTTGGATTGCATATCCTGCACAAGAATGATCATAAGTTGCAGGTGATATAATCTCGCATACCTTACAGCTGGGTTTGAAGCAATTTTTTTGCTCTTTTAATTGTAGCAAATTCAGTATAGGTGAACATTTATATATTTACCTTCAGAGTTTGCATGGTTCCAGTGTTGGACTCATGGAAGCCAGACCAGTCCTCCCTGTAGAGAGATGCAACTAAACCTTGTTAATTATATAACCATCACAAGTATATAGGTCAGATGCATTTTGTTGACAAAAAAAAAGAGAGAGAGGCTAAGCTAAGAAGAAGAAAAAAAATTAAGAGGTTAGTTTGAGAGTGTTACATACTTCTATAGACTACTGTTCCTAAACAAATCACATGGATATCTGAACTTATTCAGTTATTGTATATACTAGTTAGTACTACCTATAGTACTATCTATGAACTTCCATGTACACGCTCTAAACTGACAAAAGGACCATGCATGCTGCATGGGGGTATGTATGCATGCATAATTAGGTCATAATTGAAAGAAGCACATATATATGTGCAGATCGATGCATGCAAGCATGTCTAGGTGATCCTTGACAAAAGGGGTTTCCAGGGTCTCAATGAGTAGGGCACTTTCTGATCAAGATCATATTTATCGGGAACTGATTCCAGTGTAAACTACTCCAGCTGGGGATAATATATGTGATATGATGTGCATGTGGGTGTAAAAGAAGGCTGCTAGCTTGTTACACTTTCCATGCCGACCTAAAGGATTAAAGCTCTCCTAAGATGGCAGTGTGAGGTGACATCAATCAAAAGGCTATAGCTTTGATCCATGCTTAATCCTACATATACTTTTCTTTATTACCACTTCTCTTCACACACAAAATACTATTAATTTGATTAATAGTTTTAAAATTAATTTACACTTGTGTAATTGTGTACTGCAGAAACAAAATAGGACAATTTTACCATCCTTGAGAAGGTATCAAGAATAACCATATTTTCTAATATAAAATTTGATACCTCTAAATGCTACCGCTATGTAGTTCGATGTACCAAAATTTTCGGTATAAAATTTAGGTATCTCTACTTTCTCGAGAAATATAAAATTTGTTTAACAAAACAAAGTTAATTAGTAGTGATGATGACCACCTTGAGGAGCTATTCCACAGGGCGCCATGAGCACCGGTGCTGCTCCCATGATCGTTACAGGCAGCTAACCTTCCATGTCGCGCCGCCGCCGACATCGCCTCCGGCCTGCATCCGCCGTGCAGGTCGAGCGAGTTCTCGTCGCAGATCTCGCCGGCCGACCCATTCTCAAACCCATCAGCTTGATCTGCAAAAATAAATCAAGGAAACAAGAAGAACATCACATTAGCACCATTGATTATATTGGTCAATGCATCATATCAGAGAGCAGAATATACCAGACACAAGTGATGGTGAAGAAGAAGATGTTGTTGATGATTGGAAGCACAAAAACAACAACACGTCGAATAGAATAAAAATGGAAGGCTAAAGCGATCGACCGCGTGTGCTTAAGCTAGGCATCTATTCTAAAGCAAAGCATATTATGAGATATTTGCACTGTTCACCTGACGAAGCTGCCGGCCTTTCGGTATTCTTCACTGTCCTGTACATCTGCAGAAACAAGCAACAACATGGCCAAAAAAGACACTGATTAGTTTAGGATCATGCATATATGGAGAGAGATATCAAGGAATATATTATGTGTGCCTTGGCAAATCGTCACAAGATTTGCACCTGCAGAAAATGATGGGCTGAGAGATTTGACATGACAGATATCTGAAAATGCTAACTAATCAAAGGAGGGAGAAGAAGAATGGAAACCTAACCCATTCACATTGACATTTTTGCAATGCAAATCATGCACACATGATGTACATGTGTGATTGATAGGTTAACTAGTGTACTATACTCCCAACTTGCATGGATCAATCGATGTGAAACCTGTATTGTTACATGGAATGACTTGACCTAAGCTAGCTAAAGGAGAAGTTTCCATGCATGATACAGTAGTAGTATTACTTGTAGTGGTAGTACAAGAGATGTGTGTAAATGCAGAAGATGACAGAGTGTGGCACTGTTGCCACTTAACCCCATCTGGCCATCTCTCTAGTTTATAGTAGCTCACTGTCTCTCTGCCTACCTTTTTCTCTCACTATGTTGTTGTGATCTATTGCATGCATGTGTGTGTACTACACTACAGCATTGAGCAGTGTGTGTGTGGTGTACTAACAGACAGGAGGATCAGAGAGACCATGCATATCTTTGTGTAACTTCAATTCCTCTCTACTACTACTAGTAGATCCTTCTATATATATATATATATACTTCATTCATCTCAAAACATAAATTTTGACTCATCCTAATATCACGAATCTGGAATCTGAATAGATTATCTGTCTAGATTCGTATAAGTTAGGTTATTATATTTTAGGACAGATATAGTACCTATACTCCATATTTCTTTCTCTTACTACATACAAAGGGATGGTTTGACTGAAGGAGGAGGCTCACAAGAGTGATGGTAGCTAGTACTAGAACTTTTAAGTCCCTATCACATCGGATGTTTAAAAATTAATTATAAATATTAAACGTAGACTATTAATAAAACCCATCCATAATCTTGGACTAATTTGCGAGACGAATCTAATGAGCCTAATTAATCCATGATTAGCCTATGTGATGCTACAGTAAACATTCTCTAATTATAGATTAATTAGGCTTAAAAAATTTGTCTCGTGAATTAGCTTTTATTTATGTAATTAGTTTTGTAAGTAGTCTATATTTAATACTCTAAATTAGTGTCTAAAGACAGGGACTTAAGTTAAGTCCCTGGATGTAAACACCACCTGAGTAGGGAGTAAGAAGATGGTGGTGAAATTTACCTGCAAGTGAGACTTGACATGAGCCAGGGTGAGGTCCTTCACATCCATCAGCTCAAGAACCGACTTTGGCGTTGCCCCTGAAAAAAATATCGATCAACAAATTAAAGTTTCATGTGAATGAGATCATTAATGAAACCTAGCTAAAACTCGCACAAAAACTTCTCAAGAATCATGACCTAGCTTAGCACGAGAATACAAGATGATGATTGTGGCATATGAAGTTTTCAAGATTTGAAGAAGTTTTATGGATGGGTGATGATGAGGGCACATACTGTCATGGCCGCCGAGGAGCTCGACGGCGTGGACGAAGCGGGCGTGGAGGGTGGACGTCCAGCGCATGCGCGGCGCGCGCGGGGCGCGCTTCGCCGGGAGCACGCCGCGGGCGCCGCCGCCGCCGCAGCCACCCCTGCGCCACGCGCCGGCGACGTGGCACGGCTCGCAGTAGCACGCGCCGCCTGAGCTCGGGTGGTGCGGCAGCGGCGCCGCGCCCACGAACGGCGCCGCCGCGGCGTGCTGCTGCTGGTGGTGGTGGTACAGCGGCACGCCGCGTATGGGCCTCAGCATGGCGGCGGCGGCGGCGGCGGCGGCGTCGGGGTAGAACTGCAGGCCGCCGGCGCCGGCTGGAGCCATGGGCAGCGGCATGGGAAGCGGAAGCTGCAGCGACGACGGCGGCGACGACGCCATTGCCGGGTTGTGGCCACCCGCTCCCGCGGCGGCGGCAAAGAACCTCGCGTTGAGGCCGTGGCCATGCGCCGCCGCGGCTGCGCCGGTGGGGAGGCCGATCTGGAGGGAAAGATCCGGCTGCGAAGGGAAGAGCTCCATTGATCTCACTCTCACTATCAGCTTGATCTCACTTTGCTTCTGCCTCCTCTTCTCTTGTTCTTGAGAGATCAGCTCAGCTTTCACACACTCTCTACTTTCTTTGAGCAAGCAATGGATTGTATGTGTGGTACTTCCCTTTTTAAGTGAGTGGTAGAGAGAGAAAGTGATGAGGGGGATAAAAATGTAATTTTACTCTGGTTTGGGGAATATGTGAGGAATAGTAGTTGTATGGCCTTGCTTTGCCCTAAGTGCTATATCGGATATACAGATACACATTTAAAGTATTAAACGTACTCTAATAACAAAACAAATTACAGATTCCGTCAGGAAACTGCGAGATGAATTTATTAAATCTAATTAATCCGTCATTAGCAAATGTTTACTGTAGCACCACATTGTCAAATCATGGCGCAATTAGGCTTAAAAGATTCGTCTCACAATTTACACGCAATCTGTGCAATTGGTTTTTTTCGTCTACATTTCATACTCCATGCATATGTCCAAACATTCGATGTGACAGGTGAAAATTTTTGTTTTGGAACTAAACATGGCCTATGTATGCTGTGAAGAGAAAGAGAGAGAATTGAATGAATGAATGAATGAATGAGAAAGAAAGGCTAGTATAGTAGCAGTAGCTGTTGTATAGTGATAGCAGTGGTGTGTATGGCTTTAGTTGGTGTTATGGAGGCAAAGTGTAGTTTCCTTAACAAGGAGGGGTAAATGGAATTGGATGCATGGATGATGAGTCAATGATGCATGACACTATGCAGTGGTAGTGATAGTTGTACATGGACATTGAAGTCTCTGCTGAAGATGTCTTTGCTTAAGGTAGGGGTAAAATTGAAGATTCCAATTTACCACTTTACTACTTTGTTAACTTGTTACTAGTACTTGCATGGCCAAAAGGGCAAGTCCTCTGTTCTTTCTGCATGCAAATGCAATGTGCCAATGAGTGAGATATGATATGACTATGAGTAATATTCAGACAAAAAAAAGGTTAATTATACTGGTGCACTACATACATATGCTGGGGTTGGTGGCACATGTTTTTCTTGTTAGGACCCCATTCATGATTCATTCATGCATGCATATACACCCCAATCTGAACTCTGAACTAATGCTTGTTTGGGGTTAACTCAGAACCTTTTTGAGTGGTAACAGTGTGTGCTTGTTGCTTTGCAAGGTTGCTGCTTGTTCATGTTGTTGCCATTGCTGTTTGTGTTGTTTCTCTCACATGGAAACCTTTTTTTTTGCCTTTAAACTGAACTGTCCCTGTTGCTAGTGCACAACAAGCACATGACCTGGTTCAGACACATTACAGTAATTAATTAAGCACGATTAGCATGTATAGTTTCTTGTCAAAGCTTTTGCAGGAGTGATTCAACAGAAAACAGCTTCTTTTTTCAGAGGAGCTAAAGGGAGTGTATTTTATTAATATTCTCCTCCATTCTGCAAAAAAGATAAATACAGTGCCTAGTGAATACACATGCATGGAGCAGTACTGAATACTCTGATGCATGTAAACAAATGTCTTGCACTGTTTCAAAGACTGGTATTATGGCATTTGTTGCACTACCATGCCATGGTATTCAGAGAAGCAACCTGTCAGCAGCAATACAGCAATACTACTACTACTCCTACTCAAACACATTGAATTGAGTTTATATAAAAAAACACACACACATTGAATTGAATGGAGTATATGTACTCTTCAGTAAACAATTGAATACATGTACTCTCCTTGATGGCAAAGAAAGATGAGCAGACAAGGAACAGGAAGACTGTAAGTTCCATGCTCTTCTCTCTCCAGAGTTATGTGGAAGAACCAACCAGCTTCAGCTTCACCCAAAGCTGTCTGTGTGTGAGCCTGAGGATAGGAAGACCTATGGCTTTCAATGCCATGAAAACTTTTGGTTGGGTCCTTGGAATTGGTGCTTGTCAAGACTCTCACAAATACAGACAATGGTTTCACTGTTTGAGGCCTATAGCCCTGCCTGCTTCTTCTGCTGCTGCATGCTGTGAGGTCATTGGAGGTCACCTCAATGGAGAATTGGAAATACCCCCTACCCTAGAGTCAAAAGAACTTTCCTCTATGTGCATATATTAACATGAAATTTGTATGCTTCCCCTGCAACATGTACACTTAATTACCCCTTTGCTGTGTGATTGATTCCTATTCTGTCGTGTTACAGGTGTGAGTGTATTGTCTGATGCTGAGTCTTTACATATGTAGACAAATTAGTATTGGTATGGCACAGTAATGTGAGATGCATGAGTAATTCAGAAATGGAGAGGTGAAAGAATGGTAGTACTAAAATCTGCATTTTACTTAGCCTTCTGACAATGAGATTCAGAAAATTAAACTGATGGTCATAGCTAGCATAGTTAACAACTAATCTATCTTCTTGACGGTAAGATTCAGAACATTAATAATAGCTACTATCTTCTTGGCAGTAATTAAGATTCAGAACTAGCAGTATCAACTATCTATTTTGGAAATAAAATAATATTAAGAACCAAAATGCAATTCAACGAGTTGATAACCAAATGTCAACAAAAATATGCCACAAATTAATGGTTTGACTGAACAAAACACACCCTGAAACTCATACACACTGACAAATGATGAGAAAGCAAATTCTGTCACTGCTTTGTGCACTTAGCAAATTAATCACATCATGTAGTAACATGCCTACTACAACGATGGCATCTGGAAATTGCACATCCCCTATTTGCAGCAGCAGCAGTAGTAAAAATAAAACTACACCGTCCAAGGCAGAGCAGGCCAAGGCAAATCACCAATAGTATCCTTGGAAACATAAGTAAATTCAGACAAAATTCAGAGAGGACGTGCAGCACAGCTGAGATCGATCGGTCAGTGTTCTTCTCCATCTCTCACATTTTCTCTCTCGGATGCATGGAACAAGGCAACGGAATCAAGTCTTCCATGGAGAGTTAATGGCGAAGCATCGGAATCCGCGCGCACACGCACCATGCAGAAGAAAATTCTAATCTCAGCCTTAATTGCGAGGTCGCAATTGCATGGTGATCGATTTGTTTACTGAAGCTAGCTTTAGCTGCAGTAGTAAACGTTCTTGAACTGCTCGCTGACACCGCGAGTTTAGGGCTGATTTGTCAGTTAAAAACTCGATCCTACGCTGCGGTGCGATGGTTCTTGGGCTCTGCAGAGTCGGCATAAGATGAGATGAGAATATCTGAATGTGTAGAGATCGCCATGGCACGTGAGGGTTCAGAGAGTTCAGACTTCTTCAGAATTCTTTCAGATGATTCGAAATGCTTAATTATAATACAGCTGCATGCATCACACTGGCTTACTGGCTTTGTGCAGTAGTAGTAGTAGTAATAGTGGAGCTTAATTAGCTTGCTCACTGGAGTGTTAGCTAGCTAGCTAGTGTGTGCTTTGGCATATGCTCCCACAGTCCCACTAATTAATTAGGCTATTTTTGTCTTAGTGTGTGATAGATTAAGCCATGGTCATGTAGTGGCCTTGTAGCCAGTGCAAATTTGTTGCTTATATATCTGGTCAAATGCTCTTTGCAATGGAATTTGACAACTTGTATTTTTTTTCTTTTTGACATTACCATTTTTGAAATGGCACTAAGTAAATTTGATGTATTGTCGTGAGAAATATAACAATAACTTCGGTGGAAACTTGGACGGTATATTTAAGTCGACCCAATAAACACAACATATTTTGATAAAATGCGCCAATGTTGCGACAAGACCTCACACTAACAGCAGGACGTGAAGATAATTAATTAAAATTCTAGCTGCAGTAACATTCGATGGCATGCATGCATATCAAGAATTTCATCTTTGCACCCACAGCTTGTGATGAATTGTGTGAGTGCGAATCTCGAGAGTTAATCACCTTGGTTGACAGTGCAGTGCTAAGTTGTCATCTTGTTGGTGCATAATTACAAACAAGACAACAAACGGCTCGATCGAAGTGATCGAGGAAGCTAGGTAGCATTGCCCAAGAGCATCCCCATCATATTCATTCGTGATGCATCAACCAATGTCAACTCTTCCTAGAAATGTGATCAGAAGAAGAAGATGCATCCATCCATCCATGCATGTGTGCTTGATTAAGATAATGATCTCTGATTAGAGCTAGACATAAACATTAATATACTAGTAGGGAATCACAGACAAATGCAGTCTAGAACCAAGGAAGGTTTGGTAGCTAGGGTTGCTGACCACTGCCAAAAAAGAATAGGAATGGAGACTTCACCTTGTCTATACATCTTAGTGTGTGTGGCAACCTCGATGAGGAATCTATCTAAGTATGAGTGTGATATGATATGATATTAATTACAATAGTTAATTAAAACCTGATGATTAAAAGAAACAGAGAGAGTTAAAAGGGGTGATGCCTTTACAGGAGCTAAGCTAGCTAGCTTAGCTATAGGTTTTACTTTGACCATCAATGCATATGCATGAATGGATGCATCGATTAATTGTCTATGAACATTGATCAGAGCTCACGTGATGTTGTTGTTTAATTATAGGGGTAGCTCTGCATCTTTGTCTCTTGTAATGCCGTCACTGATAGGATTGAATATTGGTTTGATTATATTCTGTTCATGGCTAGATCGCCTTTAAGTGCAGGATGTATGTTAGTACTACTGTTCGTCACACATGCATGAGGGGGTTTAATTTGCAAATGTTTGACTAGATCCGTCCTAGTTTACACTGATTAATTGACACGTATAATGTACTACTTAATTAATTATATGTATAACAATGGGATGTTCAAAGGGCACAGAGAAATTGTACTGTTGGGATATATTCGTTAGCTAATAATTTATAATATTATGGTAGTGAGTCTTGGGACATAGTATATGATATATATGGAGCTTTTTCTAGTGTTTAATCCAGCTAAATTCTGAAAGTATTCTGAAAACGAATTGATGCTTGAAGTTTCGAAAGTTTGACCAATGATATTCCAAAATGATAATTAGTTGTTCAACATTGTTTGTTCTTTTTATTATTGTTATCACCACTACAATACCATTTCTTCATGACACCACCCTTTTATTTTTTTTACTAGCGGGTGTAATGAACATACTTTGTGAAATTCCACGAAAATCGATTTTTGTTGGTTGTTGTCACTTAAGAGGTTTGCTTGTAAAAAATAGTCACCTATTTTTATAAGTGAACCTCCTAAGTGATCGCCATCGAAAAGAGCACCGACTAAAAAAAAACTACGTTCTTAAATTCCGGAGACTCCACGGTGCGACACATCTCCCCCACCCCCCCCCCCCCCCCGAACACACACACACACACACACTCCCTCCAGCCTATGCCCTTGGTGATGGCGGCGGTGGCGACGAGAAGTAGATTCAGCAGTGGGAAGGGAGGAGGCCGTTGGTGATGACGACGGAAAGCCGCGGATCCAGTGGCGGCAGTGACTAGAGGCCGTAGATCTAGTGGCAACGGTGGCTGGATCTACGTGGTTCCGGATCTTGAAGTCCTCCCTATCCCACTCCAAAAACGACAACAGATGGCGCTGCGACGATGATAACCAGCACAACGATGGTTGTTGATGCAAATTCATTTGCATGTGTTGATGTTTGCATGTTGGAAATGGAGTGAAAAATAGATGTAGTGCTCTTTAGATGTGGATTTGAACTAGGATCTCTATATGTGGATTTGAAAATACAGTGCCATCTTTGGATGTTGATTTTGAAAATGCAGCGCCATCTTTGGAATTTTTTTTTGGCAGAAAACCTTTTTTCTAGTGGTCCTCTTAGTAATGCCGCCTGCAAAAATAGATATTCACAAGTGGTCCTCTTAAGGTCCACCTCCGAAAATCAATTTTTTCAAGCGAACCGCAACCGGGATTTTCAATGGCCTTAGGTTGCTAGCGTTTATGTCAGCCACCTGCGAAAATTATTTTTTAGAAGCGTATTTTAAGAAAACATTGGTCGTATCCATTTTGTTGGTTGTGTTGGCCACTTGCGAAAAATTATTTTTTTACTAGTGCATTTTGAGAAAACATTGGCTGGTCCATTTTGCCATACAACAAGGTGCTATTTCTTTTCGTCCTAAAATAATGAGTGCACTTATAACAATAATGGTATGCCTAGTTAGTAGTATTATTTTTGAATGAAAAGCGTATTATGTTTTTTTGGTGAAACACAATACATACACACGCACTCATACAAACGGGCGCACATACATGAACTCACGCACATAATGAAAAAATATTATTATTATTTGAGAAACACGGTACAAACACACAACCGCTCAAAAACCATGTACAATCACCCGTATGAACACGCTTGGACACCCTTATGATTACTTTTAAAAGATAGGGCCAACATATTTTATATTTAAGAAATGTTGCAAATATGTAAATTACACCTGGAGACATAGGTTGTGTTTAGTTTATGTCAAAATTGAAAATTTGGTTGAAATTGAAATGATGTGATGGAAAAGTTGAAAGTTTATGTGAATAGGAAAGTTTGGTGTGACGGAAAAAGTTGAAAGTTTGAAGAAAAAGTTGGGATTATGATAACCAGAGTATCAAATAAAAACAAAAGGTACACTATTGTCGGTAGGTTTTACATATCACTATTGAACAGCAAGGCAGTCTGACCTGGACACAGTACCCGTACTTTCGTGCCACGCTGGCACCGACAAAGTCAACCGCCCAATCCAGAGCTTCTCTGTACACGTGGTGGCCCACCTGTGCACAACCTGCTTCTGGTTCTACCCTGTCGTGTACTGCCGACACGGGCCCGCGCCTGAGAAGTGGCCCACGGCCCACCACCATGGGCCACGAACAAGCAGCATCCATCTCTGATCGCGCGGCCTATTTACAGCCCATGTGCAGGAAGGCTGACGGCCCGGCCAGGGCTTTCGTCCGAAGCCCATGCTTGATACAGTGGGCCAACCAGGCCCATGTTATGTGATGCAGCCGCGTAGTTGCTCACGCGAGCCCTAGACGCCGCCGCCCTTCTCCTTCCAGGTCTCGCCGCCGCCGACGCCGACGCCCAGGAGCTCGCCGTCCTCCGCTAGTCCCACCGCCTCTCCTCTCGCTCTGCCTCCCCCATCAGGCCAGTAGCGCCCCCATCCCTCTCTCGACCTGCTCCTCTCCTCTCGCCATCTCGCCAAATCCAACACAGGTCCACGGCAACGCCGCGCATCTCGGCAGCGCACACATCGGCGGCGCATCTCGGCAGCGGCAAGCCGGCGACGAGCTGCAGCGCTTCAAAGCTTGATTACCCAAATACTACAAGTCAGTCTCCTCTCTAATCTATCCTTATTTTGCATTTGATAGCAGGTAGTCAATTACTCAATTAGGAATTGGTTTTGATTTCCTAGATGAAAGACAAGTACAACTTTAAAATCATTCACCCAAGTCCAGCCCAATGGTAGTGAGTTCACTCCAACCCCACAAACCGATGAATCCATCCCAACCCCACAAACAGCAGGAACAGGGGCTATTAAGTAACAATGGGCAGCTTGCTCTAAATGTGATTGTTGCTGACCCTAGGCTTTGAGGACGCGCAATCACTACCATGACCTACATACTTAGTATGATTCTTCCTTTTTCAGATTCAGCTTCAGGTTCTCTCCCTACGGTAGATGAAGAGTGAAAATTATGTCCCATTAAGTATTCTAGTGATTTTTTAGTTCAGTGTTGTATTTTTACTGTATGCTTAGAAATTTTGGTTGAAGCTTGCTTTTTCTTTTCCCTGTAATTTCACTGTGCTTTAGTGTATGAATTATCATGGAGAGTTTTAGCCTTCAATTTGAGCCCTAGGCGTCCAGCGATCCTGGCCCCGCTCCGCTATCCTGGATGGTGAAACGCAAAAGTACTTATGTGGGCATATCGTGGGTGTGATGCAACTATATATATATGACTGGGTGTGTGGGAATGGGATCATGAAGTTTGTTTCAGTCTTCACCCATCATATTCTTTTAGTCTTGTGTACACTACTGCTGTCTGATTTGTGCTTCACTACTGAGTTGCTCTATGCCCATTCATCTCCATTTTCCTGTAGATGAATTTATTAACCTCTATATTTGAGGTCAGTCAAAACAGATAAATTTGATCGACTTCCAAATGATACGGTTTCTTTTTATTATAGCACTGTGCTGATTTCAGTAATTGGATCCCTCAAATTGTGAAATGCTTGCCAAAGGGAGGAAAGTTGCTGGAAGGGGCGGAGACATGTCTGCACACTATGCATTTGGGCCGCAGGAAGATGATGCGATTATTAAACATAGGCTTCTGACCAGGACAACAACTACCAGGGGTGAACCACCACTTAAGAAGCTTCAGAAGAAGTTCATGTCCTTTGCCACTGAGGTTGAGAAGGATGCAGACAACATAAGTGACTGTGAGAGGCTGTACAAGGCCTTTTTACAGGAAATTAATACTTTTGAGCTGCCTCTTCTTAAAAGCAAGGCTGTCGTTGATGCAAACCTTAGGGAGAAGGAGAGCTTCAACGAGCTGCAGGATGAGATTCAGCGACAAATCTTGCAAGCTCAGACTGATATTGAGGATCTCAAGAAGCAACTGGAACAGAGCAAAATTGAGAGGCAGCACAAAGAGGAGTGCGAAGCAATCAGAAAAATGATTTCTTTGCAGCCTCCACGATCAGAAACAGAAAAGCTCATTGCGGATCTTGAGAAGGAGATTGCTAATTTGGAGGCTGAGAATACTGCATGTATAAGGACCCTGGAACTAAGGAAGAAGCAGTTTGCTCTTCTTCTTCATGTGGTGAGTTTATTCGTCATGTTACTTTTGCTTTTCTGAATCATACCTTTTTCTTTTCAATGTAGAGTGGTACAGAGGATACTCAGTTACTCACTGGACTTAATTAATCTGGACGGCAGGCTTGATGATAGTTTACAGGCATCGTTTCCCACAATACAAAACTATGTATAGGAATTATTGGCCAGATTAGTAAAGATATGTCTGTTTCTGGATTTTACATGCTAAGCTATTAGCTTCCATTTATCTAAGAAAGGATCTTGAAAGACTAATGTAGTTATTTCAATCATTTTTCATTTTCTTCCTTGAAGCTTCCTAACATACTCATGCCTGGATCCGGTATATTTTTTGCAAGTAGAATGATGCCTATTGATTTCTGATGTTGTATCTATGACAGGTCGAGGAACTGCAGATCTCGATCGATGATGAGCAGAGGAGCATAGCAGATGAGCTGAGAGCTGCCACTGAAGAGCAGAAGATGAGCATAGAGGAAGTTAGCGGCGGTGCTTCAGATGCCATGGCTGTAGATTGATCGACGATCCTAGCAGAAAAGCGAGTTGCATTCCTGTTTCCACAAAGGCAGCTCTACATTATCTTGGGGACTATATAGCACTGAATCGCCTAGATGACTTTGTACCCTGACTCATGATTATCATCACTCTTGTAATTTCATCAGTAGTAAGTTGTAATCGTGCCCTTTCTTGTCTGAGGTAACAGAACATCATGGTGTTGACATATGCGCCTCCAGATTCCAATATGTATGATTGTTATTATTTACTGAACAATCGGCAATGATCTTCTTTGATGCAAGCTGAGGTAAAACCGTCTGCCCTGGAGAATTTGGGTACATACATGCATGTTCCTGTTAGTGGAGTACTTCAGATTCAAATATCTTTTCATCCATGTTAGTACCAAAACCAAGAGTAGGTTTGGTTTGTTGCCTCAAATATCTTTTCGTACCATAATTTTGTGTACTTTAGAAACTTCCCCAAAAACACAACAAATTTGATAATGTATCAAACCAAACATATTGGATCAAGTTTTGAGGTTCGCACGCCAAAAAAAAAAAAGAAAAAAAAAAGAGGAACCCTAGCACGGTCCTCTGGCCCCCTTTCTCTTCCTTTCTGATGAGCTGCTGGTAGAGTGGAAGATCTCTCTAGTAGATCTAGTAATTGCTTTGGTTTTTCTCTTGTCATCAATGGCGGATCTTCTAGTGTAGGTCCTTGGCTATCTTGTTTTGATAGATTCTTTTAGATGGGGGTATGATTGGCTATGGCCTTCGTGCCCATAACGTTGTTGTATAGACGGAGATGGCGATGACATTCTTTGAAATAATAGTCCTCCAGCTATCACGTTGTATGAATGGAGAATAGACTATGTGTTTTTTTCCGCTTCATCCGATTATTATAGTACCGTATGGCGAATGGATGATGTGGGATGACGAACAAAAACATGTTGGATGTAGACAGCAAAACGAGTGTGGTATGGACAATGGACAACAGGCGAAGCCCAGTGAATGATCGAATAAATCAATATTTTTAAGTATATAAGATTTTTTTTCTGATCTTCGTCTACAAGACATGACAAATTGGTCTCCACGCGTCATCTGTGATGCACGTGTGGCGTGAACGGTCTCCATGCGAGCCTATGTATGATTTTGGAAGCGAGATCATGCACCTGCCACACGAGAGTTGAGTGAGAGTGTGCATGCTAAGACAATCTATATTATTTTGGGTTTTCTGACCAATACTTAACCTAATTAAAGATTTATCTATTTTGGAACAATATTAATATGCATGCTTAATTGTGCCTTTAGCATTTAACGGTTCCATTTACCTGTAGCAAAGCACAAGCCTTTTGCTAGTTTATTGCAACATGGAAAATGTCATCCCCTTTGTACTTCAGATCGCTTGGATGATCTAGAAACAATTGTTATTAGCACGTTTAGTATATTTGACACTGTTTTCTCATAGAATTTAAGATATTTTACACTCTTTCGTGCTATCAAAATTAAAAACATTTACATATTATTATGATTATTGATTAACTATGTTACGATTTATTATTCTTCTTGATTTGAAGGTGGGTGTGTGACTACTACATGTTTATATGTTTTTATGAAGTATTAATTAGGTATCATGTGGTTCTGCTTATAGGCTTAGCTACATCCAAGCTTGTCAGTATCGTATCGGGATCCTAGATAGTATCATTTTGTTCAAAGTAGTATCGTATCGTAGTATTGTGATACGATGAGATTTTATTTTTTTAAGTATAATTAATATTTGTATTAATTACATATAACCACTCTATATAAAAATACAGTAATAATATATGGCATACAAATAGAGAGACATTTATCAAGAGAAACCACATTGGCGCTAATATTTTTGTTTAACAAAGATTCTTAAGATACATGAACACGACAAGCACATGTAGATAGTTCTTCTCCAAATTCAAACATTGTCCAGACGTCTAGCTAGCAACATTTACTTCGAAATAACACTGCATCCACATTTAGTTGCAACATTGTTCCTTTTAAGCATGTCTGTGCTAGCACTAGCACTAGCGGTAGATCATGCAAGATTTTCTCCTGTTGATATTTCCCCTTTATCTCCAACCCTAAGTTCCTAAATGAACATGAACACAACCTCAAAATACATCCTAAATTTCAAGCTTCAGCTCAAGAATAAAGATATTACATGAACATGAGTAAAAGTAACACACTAACACACCTTACTACTACAAGCTGCAGCTGGCAACTGCCCCTGAAGCCTCTTCACAAATAAACTTCTGCTGCTTCACGAACAGGCCAACAAATTAGCCTACAACAAATAGGCAAAACAAATCGATGAGAAAGAAAAGGAAGAAAATGAGAGAACAGAGAGATTGGAGATCCAAACTGAGCAGAACGAATGAAGCCGCCGCAGCGTCGGTGCGACGTCGCGCTGCCTTTGGTCTCGTACTCCCGTGGGGAACTAGTGAGAGAATGGATAGATCCAACTCCAAGTCTCTATTTTCTCTCTTTCATAAGGTTTCCACTAGACGTATGGGTTGTCCAATCTAATCCAAAAGCCAATTTTGCACAAGATCAATTTTGTGTCGCCATTTTACGACCTGTATCCCGATCCTAGCTCGCTCCCACCTGAAAACGATTCATGAAGCGACACATATCATTTTGCTAGGCTAGTATCGTAGTATGGTGTGATACCACGATACGTATCCTGATACTGACAACCTTGACTACATTTACTTGGTCACTTTTCTTGAATACACTTCCCGAATTGTCGAATATTATTTTTTTTAAAAAATGAAATAACTTAAATTTTAAGTTATTTATTTATTATGTGGTAATAGCTCATCTAATTTTTACCAAAAAAAAAAAAGCAATTCCGACTCTAGTTTTGCTTGTAATTAGGCAGGACAAGTGGTGAAGGAGATATCGAGTCGGCGTCATGGCCTAACCCGCCTCCGACTCTTGGTTCTGCTTCGCCTAACATTACCGCCTCTAATAACTCGTTAATAACTCGGCAAAAAAAAAGGAAGAAAAAAATATCTCGCACCTCCACGCACCACCGCATCTCCGCCTAGGGTTTCCTCCTCTCCAAGCTTCGCCGCCGCCCGCCGCCGCCGCCGACATGGGGTCTAGCGACGAGGCCGGCTCCTCCAAGCACCACCGCCGCGACAAGGAGAAGGACCGCGAGCGGTCCTCCTCCCGCCACCACCGCGACCGCGACCGCGAGAGATCCTCCTCTCGCCACCACCACCGCGAGGACCGGGATGACGACCGGGATCGGGACCGGGACCGGGAGCGCCGCCACAGGGAGAAGGAGCGGGATCGCGAGGAGCGGAAGGCGCGGGAGCGGGAGGAGCGGGAGAAGGAGAAGGAGAGGGAGCGTGCGCGGCGGCGCGAGGAGAGGGACCGCGAGGAGAGGTCGAGGAGGCGGGAGGCGGCGGCGGAGGAGGAGGAGGAGGATGTGGACCGCGACCGCAAGCGCCGCCGCCGGTCGTCGCACCACCACCACCACCACCGCGACGCGGAGCCGGAGGGGCCGGCTTCGGGGGCCAGGGAGGAGGAGGTGGTGGATGTGGAGGAGGCCGAGAGGCGGCGCCAGAAGAAGAAGGAGGAGGAGCAGAAGCAGCTGGACGAAGAGATGGAGACGCGGCGCCGCCGCATCAAGGAGTGGCAGGAGATGAAGCGCCGCGAGGAGGAGACGAAGCGCCGCGAGCAGGAGGAGGCCGGAGTTGGCACCTCAGCCGCCGCCGCCGCGGCCCCCGCAGAAGCAGAAGATGGCGGCAATGCCGGGAAGAAGTGGACCTTGGATGGCGAGGAGTCTGATGAGGAGGGGAACCAAGAGGATGGTAAGAAATCCGATGATAATGGTGGTTCTGGTGCCGGTGCCATGGACGTTGATGTTCCAAATGGGGGTGATAATGCAAACGGCGCCAATGCTATGGATGAAGATGAGATTGATCCGCTTGATGCGTTCATGAACTCGATGGTATTGCCTGAGGTCGCAAAGCTTGAGAGCATGCCTGCTGCCAATGTGGATGACAAGAATGATAAGAGTGCTAAGGATGCTGTGACTAATGGGGATAAAAAGGGGCCAAAGAAGGTGATGGGGAGAATTATACAAGGAGAAGACTCAGACTCGGATTATGCAGATGACGAGGATGATGAGGGTGGTTCCGAAGATGAGGATGATGAGGAGTTCATGAAACGTGTCAAGAAGACAAAGGCAGAAAAGTTGGCTATTGTTGACCATTCTAAGATCGACTACCAGCCGTTCCGGAAGAATTTCTACATTGAGGTGAAGGATATTACAAAGATGGCAGCTGAGGAAGTGGCAGCTTATCGGAAGCAGTTGGAGCTCAAGGTGCATGGGAAAGATGTACCCAAGCCAATAAAGACATGGGTGCAGAGTGGGCTTACCAGCAAGCTCCTTGATACAATCAAGAAACTTGGTTTCGAGAAACCGATGTCTATACAGGCACAAGCACTGCCGATCATAATGAGTGGGCGTGATTGTATAGGAATTGCAAAGACTGGATCAGGCAAGACTCTAGCATTTGTCCTGCCTATGCTGAGGCATGTCAAAGATCAGCCGGCTGTTGTTCCTGGAGATGGCCCAATTGGGCTTATAATGGCTCCTACTAGAGAGCTTGTGGTGCAGATACATTCAGACATTAAGAAGTTTTCGAAGGCGCTTGGCATCAACTGTGTTGCTATCTATGGAGGTTCTGGAGTTGCCCAGCAGATCAGTGAACTGAAGAGGGGTGCTGAAATTGTTGTTTGTACACCAGGCAGGATGATTGATATTCTTTGCACAAGCAGTGGGAAGATTACTAATCTTCGGAGAGTTACATTCTTGGTGATGGATGAAGCTGATAGGATGTTTGATATGGGTTTTGAGCCTCAGATTACTCGGATAGTTCAGAATACTCGTCCAGATAGGCAGACAGTTCTTTTCTCAGCCACTTTTCCACGTCAGGTGGAGATACTGGCCCGTAAGGTGCTGACAAAGCCTGTTGAGATCCAGGTGGGTGGGAGGAGTGTCGTCAACAAAGATATCACACAACTGGTTGAGGTGCGGCCAGAAAATGAGAGGTTCTTTAGGCTGTTGGAGCTGCTTGGAGAGTGGTTTGATAAAGGTAAAATTCTTGTTTTTGTCCATTCACAAGATAAATGTGATTCTCTACTCAAAGACCTGTTCCAGCATGGATATCCATGCCTATCCCTGCATGGTGGGAAAGACCAGACTGACCGTGAATCAACACTAGCTGATTTCAAGAGCAATGTGTGCAGCTTGCTGATTGCTACCAGTGTTGCTGCTAGGGGTTTAGATGTCAAGGAGCTTGAGCTTGTTGTGAATTATGATGTCCCGAACCACTATGAGGATTATGTTCATCGTGTTGGACGAACTGGACGTGCTGGGAGGAAGGGATTTGCCGTGACTTTTATTTCTGAGGAAGAGGAGCGTTATGCTCCAGACCTTGTTAAAGCTTTGGAGCTCTCAGAGCAGGCTGTTCCAGAGGACCTGAAAGGTCTAGCTGATCGTTTTATGGCAAAGGTGAAGCAGGGAACAGAGCAGGCCCATGGAACAGGATATGGTGGAAGCGGTTTCAAGTTCAATGAAGAGGAGGATGAAGCACGGAAATCTGCAAAGAAGGCTCAGGCAAGGGAATATGGTTATGAGGAGGACAAGTCAGATTCAGATTCTGATGAGGAAGGAGGGGTTCGTAAGGCGGGAGGTGACCTTGCGGCACAAGCTATTGCTGCTGCTCAAGCTGCTGCTGCTATGGTTGCAGCAAAGGCTGCTAGCAATGCCAACCAGCAAACACAAGGCACTTCTGTAGGGCCCTTGCTTCCTCTAGCCATTGCTTCAAACACACAGAATAACGAGGCCACAGCACGTGCACTGCAGGCTGCATTTAACATACAGCAAAATCTGGCAAGGATACAAGCACATGCAGTCCCAGAACATTATGAGGCTGAGCTTGAGATTAATGATTTCCCACAAAATGCCCGCTGGAAGATCACTCACAAAGAAACATTGGGTCCTATCCAGGAATGGACGGGTGCTGCAATCACTACAAGGGGAACCTTTTTTCCTCAAGGAAAAATTGTTGGTGCTAATGAACGCAAGCTGTACCTGTTCATAGAGGGCCCCACTGAGCTATCTGTCAAGAAGGCGAAAGCAGAATTGAAGCGTGTCCTTGAAGATTGTGCCAACCATGCTCTGAACCTTCCTGGTTCTGCCCAAACTGGAAAGTACTCTGTTATTTGAGGGGCGGAACAGATGTAGGGATTTTCTTGACAAGGTATGCAGGAAAAAAAAGCATAGCATCTAGGATTGAATATTAAACCCAATCGATGTATTTCTTATTCCTTTGTCTTATTTTGACTGCCTGATAGTTTCTGTGTTATTGTTGGCTGGTGTATTTTATTTACTGACACTCTCTCTATTTTTGCAGTGCAGCTTTCATGGGTTTGCAGACCACAGTGCTATTCTTGGATTGGTTCTTCCATATGCGCGGCTCATATTTTAAATCTTAGCTATCGTGCATGGCAGCTAATGCTTACTTTTAAACTTATTATTGCATGATTATTGTGGAGATTGTCTAATCTAGAATGTTTTGACAATTTCTGTAGCTACTATTAACAGTGGTGGTAGCTTGCTGTTAACACAGGATGTGTTCCAGGCAGTCTGTTGTGAACACTGTTATGTGAACATAGCTCTCAAGCTATGTTACATTGTTCACCCCGAGCACTAATGGGGCATGCTAAATGCAAGAGAAGGTGCTGAGCTTTCTAGTGCAATTTTGGAAGTGCTTGTTGGCTTTTGATGCTATAAACCTAATAACTTGTCTTATATTCTTGCTTTGAATAAATCGGTGCGGTGGCACCATTTCAGTGACATAATGGAATAAGTGTTTGATCGGCATTTAAATAATGCAGGTTTATGCTTTTCGTTTGCTCACTTGGATGCTATAAACAGGAATTGGTAGTTCACATGGGGTATTAACGTTTTTTTCTGACTGCTACTTGTATGATCTGATTCAAGCCTTTCATGTGTTTAAAAAGGTGCCGTGATGGTTCTTGTTTTGGTCTTCAGATACACTTTACTGATCCAGGTGCGGTGGACGATGGTGCAGCTGCTGTTGAAGGATGAGGCTGCCTCCGCGTATTATCTTCCCTTTACATAAGAGTTCTTTATCTGTGTCTCCTCTTTGCTTGGAGTGAGATGCAGTTATTATAAGCTTATATAACTAATATCATCATCGTCATGTAGATTGCTGCTGCTCCTGTTGAGTTACATTTGTGAAAATGGTAGTGATGCTAGAATGTGACCTAGCACAGGATACAGAGTTTGCTCTTCTTACCTTTTTCCTCTTGAGCCCATGCTGATACTTTCTGCTGCCCACTTTTCCCTCTTCATTTTGGTAGAGAGCCTCCTGCATAATATAATATACTACTAATCTATTGCATTGCATTGTGCAGAAGATAGCACAACAGGTAGCAGGTATGTGCAGGTAAAGAAACTAGAGGGCTTCTTGATTTGTTTTCCCTTTTTTCTCCCCCTGCATGTCTAGGTGGTACCCTATGCAGAGTCTGACTCTGGCTTTAAGCAGTTGTGCAATCAGAGCCATGGCATTGCCGCATCGTAATCTGCAGCTCTGGGAAGCTGGTGTTGCCTGGAGAGTGGGCTGGCTATGGCGATGTATTTACATTGTGTAATTATCACCTTTGTACTGGAATTATCAGAGACGTGGGTGAGCAGGAGAGATGTGTTAACGATCCATTAGGAAAGCCAAATGCTCTTCAGACATTTTTTTCCCAGTTCCGCTCCTACAGCAACCTCTATAGTCATATCCTGCTCATTGCCAGATTATAATGTGTTGATGAAACATCTTGTTTATCTGGGTGAAACTGAGGGAACGTGGTCCCTAAATTCTCATCTAGTATTAATTGTTCTCCGCCTCATCTGTATATTCCTAGAATCTATAGAATCTCGTCTGCAACGACGTGATCTGTATGTTTGCATTAATATTTGTTACAATCCAATCGCATAGCCCAGATTAATACCATAACGCTGCTCCCTTCCAGGCTTACTGCCGTCTAAAATTCTCATCAATTGGTAACAATAAAAAAATCTGCCGCATCATCTATCTAACGACTTAAGCCCAGAACAACAATCAACATGTGGTTGGTTATGGTATGTCAGTTAAGCAATGTATGTACGAGGTCTCGCATTCTTTTTTTTTTTGAAAGAAAAGAAGGAATGAACAGTAAGAGATCTCGTGGCATATGCATATAGGATGAGGCATGGAGTTTTTTGAGGTCAAGGTGGTTAAAATCGTGATTTAGAATTGGAATAGAAAGTTCTATGTAGGATCACAACCTTATAATCGAGTACATAGAAATCGTAAATTCAATAGAATCAAACATCTAATAAAACCAGGAAGTTGTAAAATCGTACGACATAAACGAGATTTTGACAAACTTATATGAGATAGAGCATTTTCATGCAAAGCCATCGATATCATTTCAAAACCTACTTATGTACTTGAGGTGTTGCCTTCTTGGTTGATCGAGCAACCTTATGAGAAAATAGCATAAGTACAACCAAGCGAGAGAAAAAAAACATTTGGTTTATACTCCCTCCGTTTCACAATATAAAACTTTCTAGCATTGACCACATACATATAGATGTTAATGAATCTAAATACATACATATATCTAGATTTATTAACATCTAAATGAATGTGGGCAATGTTAGAAAATCTTACATTATGAAACGAAGGAAGTAGTATTTATTTAGTGGCACAAAGATTTTTGCATGTCCACTTTGGATGATGAATGACACAAATGGAGCCATGAAGGATACATCATAACTAGAAATAAAACTAAAAAGAGAAATTCTAGTTGTGCACATATTTGAGCTTGGACACGTGGTTTTATCACCATATCAACGAGGAGTGAGACGAATGCGAACACGCACATGGTATAATTGGAAAAATAAACTAAAGGGCAAACAAATAGGGTTTATAGTGTTTGTCCCGCAAAGATTCATGCCACCACATGGCGTCGTCGTCATATAATGGGTAATCGGCACACTAAGGGGAAGCTGCATCATCATATAATGGGTAATTGACACACTGAGAGGAAACGGTGGGGATGTGGATGAGCACGGAGTATAATCCCCCCTAAAAAAACTAAGTTCATGGTATCGCGTAATGATTAATGTTAGGACATGTCTCTAGACGGATGATCACTACACCAAGTATAAGCGGCACCGGATGCGACTAAGCACGCGGTATAACCGGAAAAACCAAGCGCCGAAAAACTATGGTTCACGACGTTTTGTACGTTATGATTCGTGTCGGGACACGTCTCCACGTCAAGAGCGGGTGATCACTACACCAAGCAAAACTGGCATCGGATGCGACCTCGTGCGGGGTATAATCGGAAAAACCAAGCGTCGAAAAACCTAGGGTTTGCGGCGATTTGTCGCTTTAAGATTCGTGCCGGGACACGTGTCATCATCCTACCATAGTTGCTACTCCCTATTAATACATCCCATCTCTTCCCCTCTCCTCAACTCATCTCCTCCGGCGGATTACCGCTGCCGCCTTCGCCGCCGGCGCCGCCGTTCGCCATCACCGAGCAAGCAAGTGACCTCGCTGTTCGTCTCTCCCACCTCCTCCTTCTTCCGCTGCCTTCGATTCTTGGTAAGCCCCTAATTCTCCTTCGATTCAATCCTCAATCGGGGGAAGATGAAGCCTGTGATTCTTGCAGGTAGCGGGTGATGGATTACACCAACGCCATCCACATCATCCCGGACGCGGCGGGCCCCGACGCCTGGGCGAACGCGGCGGCGCAGGGCGGGGACGCCGGGATATGGGCCACCGAGGACGACTACAACAGCCAGTGGAACGCCGACGGCGGCGGCGGCGGCTCCTCGAGGGCCGGGAGCGAGCAGCCACCTCCGGGCAAGAAATCCCGCGGCGGCGGCGGCGGCGAAGGCGGCGGGAACACGAGCAAGTCGCGGGCGATCGGGAAGATGTTCTTCAAGACGAAGCTGTGCTGCAAGTTCAGGGCGGGGACCTGCCCCTACGTCACCAACTGCAACTTCGCCCACGGCATGGAGGAGCTCCGCAAGCCGCCGCCCAACTGGCAGGAGATCGTCGCGGCGCACGAGGAGGCCACGGAGGCGAGGGAGGAGCACCAGATCCCCATCATGACGTCGTCGGGACCCACCGCCGGCGGCGACGCGGGCTGCGGCGGCGGCGGCGGCGGCGGCTCCGGGAGGGCCTACAAGGGGAGGCACTGCAAGAAGTTCTACACCGACGAGGGATGCCCCTACGGCGACGCGTGCACGTTCCTCCACGACGAGCAGTCCAAGGCCAGGGAGAGCGTCGCGATCAGCCTCTCGCCGAGCGTCGGCGGCGGCGGCGGTGGCGGGAGCTACAATTCTGCGGCCGCCGCGGCCGCCTCCGCCTCCGCCGCGGCGGGGAATGGGCCGATGCAGAAGCCGTCGAACTGGAAGACGAGGATCTGTAACAAGTGGGAGATGACTGGGTACTGCCCCTTTGGCAGCAAATGCCACTTCGCTCATGGAGCAGCTGGTGAGTTTGCTTGTTTCATAGTATGCATTTGTCAAATTCTTGAATTGTTATATGTTACCCTGTGTTTTTAGAGATAATTTAGCCTATTGTGATTTGTTCTACGGTTGAATATGTAGTTATTGAATCTGTAGTTAGTGTGTGGATGGTGCTTCGTTTCATTTTCGGTAGACCATAATGTGCGATGAACTTATCAATCTTCATTTGATCTGTGACCTTGTTTCATCAGAGATTTAGTTTGATTGGACATAAAACCTCACTTGTGCCCTGATAGCTGTGACAATTCTAGGTATTAACAATTGTTTCTCTGATATACATCAGGGCTGTGTTGTTTTAGTTATTTACTAGTACATTGCATCACAGCTCTACCTTGAAATCTTGTTTTATTCATCAAGTATATAGCACACCTTTAGGACAGGAATATATCCTTCCCAACATATTTACTGAACTATACAACAAATCTATTCCTAAATCTATTCTTTTTGAGACTATGAGTGAGGCCATGTATTCTATATGGATTATGAAGCACAACATTGATGGTGGGTCTAGTGTTGGCTTCAGCGCATATCAAGTATTCAGAAGTTCCCAGTGTGATGGTATTGTGATCGTTCAAAACTTAGATCGTTCTAGCTTATTGTTTCTTCAACTTAAATGAATATGCATGTCATTGTCCCAGTGAAGCTTCTGCGCTGTGCTGGTGAAACACATCTTTGTACTTCAAGCTGTGAATCGCGATAACATTTACAATTTTCTCATAGGTCATGTTTGTTGGATCATCTTGTAGTGTAGGTATTTTCTGAACTTTTCACGGTCGACCTGTTACCACTGCACAATATATAGGTTTCAGTCCACTTCACCACTTGTTTATAGATGAGTGACCAGTCTTTGTACCTATATTATTATCCTCTTTGTACAACATTTGCTGCCAGATACAGGCAACTCCTTGATGTCTTGAATCTTGGTCATTGCTCAGAGTAGAAAGGCATTCTAGAGTTAAGCGCACAATACGATCATGGCTACTAAGAGCACAGTAGCATACATGTTCTTTAAGTGACCATCACATTATTTAGTCGCTTATATTCCTAGGATGAGAACACTATGATGATATCTGAATTTGAAGAGGGAAGTCCTGGCTTGACAGGTTACATTTGCTCTTCAGGAGCCTCTACTAAATTCTAGATTCAATTATCAGTGTCACCGTTTATCTTGTGCAGTTTAGGAATATTTCTGCTTTTATTAGTCATTTGCAGTTTACATGTTGATCTGAGTCTAATTCACTTATTAGCCTGTTTAGTTTAAGTGTTGGCTTCAAAAAGAAATTTCTTAGATTTAGTCAGAATGAAATGCTGGTTTAGTGACCATATCTGTTGCTAGTTTCTACCCACTTAACTTTGTTTTAAGGGTTTGCTTTCTGTTGCGTCAGGGTTACATGTGGACAGTTAGTTTTTTTTCCCCATTTGCACATTTTTATCTTGCATGATGTTCTCCATTTCTTCTTTAGTACAAGATTGGAGTATTCACTAAAACTGAAATATGCAGTAGAAACACTGAAAGAGGTGGTCATTTTTAGCCTGATGCATTCCTACTGGATGTTGACTATATTTATGAGCTATTGACAGTTTGCAGATTTACAGAATACAATTTGTTCTGTTATGTATATATCTTTCTCCTACATTTTAAATCACCTTTGAGAATCTTTAGATAAACTTATTGCAATTTAGTCCTGTTAATTGAAATGTTTCATTTGTCATTTAATTGAGGCAGCAAAAACCCCACCTGATGTATCTTACATTTTTCATGAATTTCATTTCAGAACTCCACAAGTATGGTGGGGGACTTGTTGACATAGACAGCAGGGATGCTGCAGCAACTCCCGACTCCAAGCAAGCTGTGGTATCTGCGAAAGCTCCAGCAGAGACCGCTGCTGCATCCACCACAGTGCTCCCTCATGCAGACGTGTACCATCTAGGCGTGCAGGCGCAGCGTTCTACCATTGCCGGCCAAAGGTCTGGGCAGGTACAGAGGCCCATTCAGAAATGGAAGGGCCCTGACAAGATCAGCAGGATCTATGGTGACTGGATAGACGAAACCGAGTAGGCGAAATCAAACCTTTGATCTTTCGTCGCCACCACCTGAAGGCGAAAACAAGATGCTATAGTTAGCCATTGGGAAAAACCATTGTCTTGAGCGAAAAGGAGATGTCAATTAGTTAGCCATTTTGGAATCCTGGTCTCAAGACATTTAGATTAGCCATGTGGAAACCTGGTCAGAGTCAAGACATAGTCTGCGGGTTGTTAGACTGAATTTTATGTTGTGCTGTCTGTTGCAATACCTGATATCATGTATGGTGCTTACATGATATGAAGTCATGGTTGCAATACCTGTACCTGGAAAGTTAGATATGGTTATCTGAAAGTATGAACTGCCTGTTTACCTGTCATCTGTTGTTTTTCTGCTTTGGCTGTCACTTGTGCTATGCATTGTTTAATGGGTTGGGTCCAGTGGCTCAGTCACACTCACACCTTTATGGGCCTTTGGGCCTTGTGTAGAGAAACTAACAGGATCACAACCAAACACTATGCATTGTGGTTATTGGGCCCCTATTTTATTAGATTTCTCCCAGTAGACTAGAATGTGCATTCATTTATTTATTATGTTGCAAATTATATACCCCATATATTCAGAGGTTTTGATGTTAAATCACTAGAAAGTAGTACAAAAATATATGGTATCTGGTGGATTAGTACAGGTTCTTCTAGGAGACAAAACAACAATCAGTAGAAAAAAAAATGATAGCTCAGCATATGATTGTTAAAATGTTTGGTCGGAGGAATCTTTCATTGCACATTTCTTTTTATATTGGAATCTTGCCATGCTTAATAACATTATCCAGCTCTTCCATTATTGGCACTTGACAAAGAGCACTTAAAACAAATTAGTTGCTGCCAAGGGCAAAGATATATACTATGCTGCTATATGCTATAGATTGTTTCGAATCATCTTATCCAAGGATGCATCTTGCAATTGGTGGGTGATATATTGCACTAAAAAAATTGGTGAAAAGAACAGACATGTCCTAGGCACTGAAAACAATCCAGACTGAGGTTAGGTTCATGTTTCATTTTAATACATCTAACCGTGTCCTCGATGGAATAACATATGGATGATATATATATTAAAATTGGCACTTCGATCTTTCTAGTATATATTATAAAATAGGAGACCTAAAAAAAAACAAAAATGTCATCCACTATGGCCAATGTTATTCTGCAGTAATTCAAAAGAAGCTACCAGAATCTATTAAAATCAGAAAAGCGACAGAGTTTTCCATGGTTAATTTTAACTTAAAAATGACCGGCTAAAGTACAATGATGATATATCCTCGCAAAAGAAAAAAAGAGTACAATGATGCTGCATGTAAATTTTTCAAGGGAGAATTATTAATCTGTTGAAAACAAGAAAACTGGCTGCAGGTCTTTACACGGTTAGTTATATTCAAACTTAAAAATGACCAGCTAGCTTTGAAGTCCTCTCATGATGCATGGAAATTAATTCATTTGGGCCAGAAATTTGGACGCTCTCTCAGTACGTTCATGTAGTTGATTCAATTCCTTGGATTTTCCATTTCTTTTCTTCGTCGGAGAGAGAGGTCATGGACCAGCGTACGCGTGTAGATCTAGATCACCAGTTGACAACAAATATACTTCTATTAGGAGAGAATCCATTATATGCCATTGACTTTGTTACACGTCTACGATTTACCATTGACTTTATCACGTTCTACAATATGCCATAGATTTTTACTTAATTTCTACGACTTACCATCGCTGTCCGGTTAGTCTCCGTTAGTACTGTAAAAATTTGTCAAAATTACCAAAATACCCCTAGGACAGAAACTTTCAAAATTTGGATAAAAATTCTAAAATATCAGATTTTAAGTTTTTGGACAAATTTTGGATGTTTACAATCTTATGTTTATAATACGATATTTTGATAATTTTATCCAAACTTTGGAAGTTTTTATCTTAGGGGTATTTTAGTCATTTGGACAAAATTGTCAGTGCTAACGGAGGCTAACCGAACAATGATAGTAAATCGTAGAAGTTAAGCAAAAGTCGATGACATATTGTAGAACTTGATAAAGTCAACAGCAAATAGTAGACGTGTGACAAAGTTAATGGCATATAATGGATTCTCTCTCAATGACTGACCGTGCTGCAACAATATACTCCCTCCGTCCCATAATATAAGGGATTTTGAGTTTTTGCTTGCACGGTTTGACTACTCGTCTTATTCAAAAAATTTTGGAATTATTATTTACTTTTTTGTGACTTACTTTATTATCCAAAATACTTTACGCACAACTTTTTGTTTTTTATATTTGCATAAATTTTTTGAATAAGACGAGTGGTCAAACACTACAAGCAAAAACTCAAAATCCCTTATATTATGGGACGGAGGGAGTATATGTTATGTTAGCGCGTGATTGCGTCGAACAAATTGACTTACTTCGCATATATCAATACAAGTATTAGATAGTTATTAGATTACAATTAGTCAAGTCGTACGTGCATATATCGATCACATCGTAATTAACCACCTTGCCTCGGTCATGTAATCTTCCTACTCCCTCCGTCCTAAAAAAAAGACAAACCTTGATTTCCGTACCCAACGTTTGACCGTCCGTCTTATTTGAAAAAAATATGAAAAAAATTAAAAAGATAAGTTACGTATAAAATATTAATCATGTTTTATCATTTAACAACAATGAAAATACTAATTATAAAAAAATTTCATATAAAACGGACAGTCAAACGTTGGCACGGAAACCTAGGGTTTGCCTTTTTTTTTGGATGGAGGGAGTACGTGGCTGGTGATAACGTCGAGGAGGGAGAAATTAATAAACAACTTAAAGCTGTGTTCGGAGGCATGGGTTGCGACACTCAAAACGATGTAACGGTCTAACAAATAATTAATTACGTACTCCCTCCTTCCAAAAATTTAAGGGAGTGTTTGTTGGGTAAAAACTTTTTAGTCATTGTCACATCGGATATTTAGACACTAATTATAAGTATTAAACATAGACTAATGAAAAAACACATTTCATAACCCTGGATAGTTATATTTCATCTTAGCACAATGACCAAGGATAAATAATTCTACTTATCATTTATTTAAACATGCTACTAGTTATTTCTCGTAAATAAGCGATTTATTAATATTTACATTTCTCGACGCCCATGTAGCCAATCTTGTGTGGAAGAATGGAGAATCACATATTAAATCCGAGAAAGTCATTAAGATGATAAGTGGTTTGATTGAAATTAAATATGCCTATCAAAAACAAATTATTCATATTTAGAAATATTCCTATCAAAAATAGATGAAGGGAGTATTTCTTTTTCACTAAGACCAAAGGTGTAGTTAACTCATTCATCATGTGACAAAATCAATGAACATGCAACCAATAAGTACTAAAATGACTTTTTGGGTTCCCATAAAAAAATTAATATATCACATAGTTACTATAAATAGGACTTAAACTTTTGAAAAAACCAAAGAATAAAATAGGACTTAGTTTTTTGAAAGGAGGGAGTATTAGCTAAAAAAACTTGAAAAATATAGATTAATATGATTTTTTAAAGCAACTTTCCTATAGATTTTTTTTTAAAAAAAACTCTGTTTAACAGTTTGAAAGCATGCACGCAGAAAACAAAAAAGAAGAATTTAGGAAGTTGCACAAAAGAATACAGCCTTAGAGTAGCATATGTATGTATGCACACCATCCCTCTTAACGTACACGTGTACATACTATCACCTTAAAATATTGAGCAGGTATACATTGAGAGTAATTAACTTTACCCCTAAAAAGATAAATAACCCATAAACACAAGCACCACAGCTGAGTCTGGGACTTAAAATCTGGATGAATAATTTTCACCATAAGAGACCTTACCAACAACCTATTAGGAATTGTTGCTTCAACAATTGTTGTGGTACGTACCTTTTCGGTAATCGATGTTGTGACATTATGTCCTTAGGTTTGTTACAGGCTGCAATAGAGTTGTATGCACCCAACAAAAACAAACTGAAAGGAAATTTCATTGACATATATAATGAGCCAAATAGTCCATCAGTTTTAGAATATAAGATTTTTAAGTCAACGGGTACGTCGCCTATCACTTAAAAGAATAATTAGCTGTAAATACGAACATTCGTGTCAACTCGAGAACTTAACCCCTGATGAGCTGGTTCCACCACAAGAAAGCTAATCAGTTGAACTATATATGCTCGCTTCGTACATCTTATTAATTTTGGAATCATTGAAATAATGAGAATTACAAAAATTAGTGTAAGAATGATTATATTCTGGTATAAAATTTAAATTTTAAAAATTCTTCTATTTTAAAATGGAGGAAGCACATGATAAAACAAATTAAAGGAGTTTCAATGGATTGGGAAAACAATTCAGCACCACAAGTTCAATGATAGGTTTTGACCGGTAGCAGGCGTTAAGCAGCGCCGACGGATGCATACAGGTATGGGTGACAGCCCACGTGGGCTCCGCAACAACGTGGCACTCGCTGATTGGTTTCAGAGGTAGGACAGATCGGATCTCGGGAATCACGCAAAACTGAAGTTTAGTTTAATTTGGCGTTGAAAGGGGGCCCGGCTTAATCTATGTTCCTCGCATTTAATTTATTGTTAAAAAAAACTCATTCTTCGTTTCCTGCTTAATTTTCTTGACAATTGGTTGAATCATTCTAAGGGGAATTGGTTAAAATAATTTTCTTGACATTTTTTTTAGAAAAGGATATTTTTTTACCCGGCCTTTATATCCAATCGGATATATGCCGCCTTATTAAATTAGAAACTTAGCCTATTAATCAGGAAACTTAGCCATCAAATAACTCAATGTGAAATTCTTAGGACCTTGGGGGTGCTACTCAGGTCGCTGCAACCCCCAGGTACGTACATGCTCTTTTGTAGTTGATGTTTACAAATAATGCTACATGTAGTTATCACAAATCAACAATTTATTCTTAATTTAGCAGATAGCTAGACACCATATATACTCTTTTAGGGCAAATCTCAAGAAATTAAATCTGTGTCCGTAATTTGGGAAGACATGCACCGTACTAGTAGTCAAATAGCAGTAGTGAAATTAGTAGTAGGAGCTAGTAGCATGCAATTTACAATAGGGATTCGGTAGTCGATCCATAAATTGAATCACAAGCGTTTTGACTCGTGACATATAAATTCAGATATTATATATGATAATATATACAGTTTCATATAACCGCACCGTTAATTAATTATTTTCTAGTACCATAAAGACAACTTAGATAGCTAAAGATTTCATAAATAGAAAATTTGATTTTTACAACTCTATAAGTACGGTGGATTAAATGATAATCAGCAAGTCATATAATACTTGGG